TCTCCTGCTGTCTCCCTGTGTCTCCAGATCTGTCTCCCTGTGTCTCCAGATCTGTCTCCCAGGTCTCTGATCTGTCTCCAGTGTCCTGCTGTCTCCCTGTGTCTCCAGATCTGTCTCCCTGTGTCTCCTGATCTGTCTCAGTGTCTCCTGATCTGTCTCCCTGTGTCTCCTGCTGTCTCCCGTGTCTCCTGATCTGTCTCCCTGTGTCTCCAGATCTGTCTCCATGTGTCTCCTGATCTGTCTCCCTGTGTCTCCCAGTGTTTCCAGATTTGTCTCCCCGTGTCTCCTGATCTGTCTCCCTGTGTCTCCCAGATCTGTCTCCCTGTGTCTCCTGATCTGTCTCCCAGTGTCTCCAGATCTGTCTCCCAGTGTCTCCAGATCTGTCTCCCTGTGTCTCCAGATCTGTCTCCCTGTGTCTCCTGATCTGTCTCCCCGTGTCTCCTGATCTGTCTCCCTGTGTCTCCCAGATCTGTCTCCCTGTGTCTCCTGATCTGTCTCCCTGTGTCTCCTGATCTGTCTCCCTGTGTCTCCTGATCTGTCTCCCAGTGTCTCCAGATCTGTCTCCCAGTGTCTCCAGATCTGTCTCCCAGTGTCTCCAGATCTGTCTCCTGATCTGTCTCCCAGTGTCTCCAGATCTGTCTCCCAGTGTCTCCAGATCTGTCTCCCAGTGTCTCCAGATCTGTCTCCAGATCTGTCTCCCTGTGTCTCCTGATCTGTCTCCCAGTGTTTCCAGATCTGTCTCCCCGTGTCTCCAGATCTGTCTCCCTGTGTCTCCCTGTGTCTCCTGATCTGTCTCCCAGTGTCTCCTGATCTGTCTCCCAGTGTCTCCAGATCTATCTCCCTGTCTCCTGATCTGTCTCCTGATCTGTCTCCTGATCTGTCTCCCAGTGTCTCCAGATCTGTCTCCTGATCTGTCTCCCAGTGTCTCCAGATCTGTCTCCCTGTGTCTCCTGATCTGTCTCCCTGTGTCTCCTGATCTGTCTCCCAGTGTCTCCAGATCTGTCTCCCTGTGTCTCCTGATCTGTTTCCCTGTGTCTCCTGATCTGTCTCTCAGTGTCTCCAGATCTGTCTCCCTGTGTCTCCAGATCTGTCTCCCTGTGTCTCCTGATCTGTCTCTCAGTGTCTCTAGATCTGTCTCCCTGTGTCTCCTGATCTGTCTCCCTGTGTCTCTAGATCTGTCTCCCTGTGTCTCCTGATCTGTCTCCCTGTGTCTCCAGATCTGTCTCCCTGTGTCTCCAGATCTGTCTCCCTGTGTCTCCTGATCTGTCTCCCTGTGTCTCCTGATCTGTTTCCCTGTGTCTCCTGATCTGTCTCTCAGTGTCTCCAGATCTGTCTCCCTGTGTCTCCAGATCTGTCTCCCTGTGTCTCCTGATCTGTCTCCCTGTGTCTCCAGATCTGTCTCCCTGTGTCTCCTGATCTGTCTCCCGGTGTCTCCAGATCTGTCTCCCTGTGTCTCCAGATCTGTCTCCCAGTGTCTCCTGATCTGTCTCTCAGTGTCTCCAGATCTGTCTCCCTGTGTCTCCAGATCTGTCTCCCTGTGTCTCCTGATCTGTCTCCCTGTGTCTCCAGATCTGTCTCTCAGTGTCTCCAGATCTGTCTCCCAGTGTCTCCAGATCTGTCTCCGTGTCTCCTGATCTGTCTCTCAGTGTCTCCAGATCTGTCTCCCTGTGTCTCCTGATCTGTCTCCCGGTGTCTCCTGATCTGTCTCTCAGTGTCTCCAGATCTGTCTCCCTGTGTCTCCAGATCTGTCTCCCTGTGTCTCCAGATCTGTCTCCCTGTGTCTCCTGCTGTCTCCCCGTGTCTCCTGATCTGTCTCCCAGTGTCTCCTGATCTGTCTCCCTGTGTCTCCAGTTCTGTCTCCCTGTGTCTCCAGATCTGTCTCCCTGTGTCTCCAGTTCTGTCTCCCTGTGTCTCCAGTTCTGTCTCCCTGTGTCTCCTGATCTGTCTCTCAGTGTCTCCTGATCTGTCTCCCTGTGTCTCCTGATCTGTCTCCCTGTGTCTCCAGATCTGTCTCCCTGTGTCTCCTGCTGTCTCCCCGTGTCTCCTGATCTGTCTCCCAGTGTCTCCTGATCTGTCTCCCTGTGTCTCCTGATCTGCCTCTCAGTGTCTCCAGATCTGTCTCCGTGTCCCCAGATCTGTCTCCGTGTCCCCAGATCTGTCTCCCTGTGTCTCCTGATCTGTCTCCCAGTGTCTCCTGCTGTCTCCCTGTGTCTCCAGATCTGTCTCCCTGTGTCTCCAGATCTGTCTCCCAGTGTCTCCTGATCTGTCTCCCTGTGTCTCCTGCTGTCTCCCTGTGTCTCCAGATCTGTCTCCCTGTGTCTCCTGATCTGTCTCCCAGTGTCTCCTGATCTGTCTCCCTGTGTCTCCTGCTGTCTCCCTGTGTCTCCAGATCTGTCTCCCTTTGTCTCCAGATCTGTCTCTCAGTGTCTCCAGATCTGTCTCCCTGTGTCTCCAGATCTGTCTCCCAGTGTCTCCCTGTGTCTCCAGATCTGTCTCCCTGTGTCTCCAGATCTGTCTCCCGGTGTCTCTGATCTGTCTCTCTGTGTCTCCAGATATGTCTCCCTGTGTCTCCAGATCTGTCTCCCAGTGTCTCCATGTGTCTCCCAGTGTCTCCAGATCTGTCTCCCAGTGTCTCCAGATCTGTCTCCCGGTGTCTCCTGCTATTGTCCCAAGAGCTCTTTCTCAAAGGTTTCGCTGTCCCAGAAGTTTTGTTTCCCGTTCCAGGTGTCTCCCTGTCGTCTCTCCCTGCTTCTTAATTTCTGGTCGCCTGATCTCTGTTATCGTGTCTCAGGATCCGTGTCTCCCGGTTTGAGATCTCTTCGTCTTTTTGCCCCAAGAGGCTCGTCCCAGCACGAGACAGGCGGGATCGTGGATCACTGCTATCTCCTTGCGTCTCTCTCCTTGTGTCTCTCTCCTTGAACATTTCTCACAGGAATTCTCTCTCCAGTGACATTTTTCCAGAGACGTCTTACCTCCCGTGATTCACGGTCTCACCGTCTTTGTCTTGAGGTATCTTGTCCCATACCCTCGGATCTCGTTGGGTGTGCATTTGTTTTATCCCGCAATTACGGCGTTCAGATATTTTATCCTGGTCTTGCTTAGATCTCTGCGATGTACGAGCATTGCCTCTGGGTCTATTCGCCTGATTGGTCTCGTCTCAGGAGCTATAATAATAATAACCTCTATTTTATAAAGTGCCTTTCATTTTGAAGTGTCCCCAAGCGCTGTACATAAAAATAAAACTACACTCACAAATATGGGTAAAATCCAAGCGAAATAACAATATCAATGGCCACTCTCGAAATTCAAATAAAATGAAGAACTATGATTAACGCCAAATAATAATAAACGCAGAGTAAAACAATCGGACAACACAATTGGTTTGAAATATTACATTACGGGGAAAGCCTGCGGTATAAATAGGTGAGTTTCAAGACAGCGATTTCAAAGGACTCGGAATTCCCGAATGCCCCGAGGAAGGAGACTGCAGAAGGCTCCGTGTCCTCCATAGAACATCGCAGCCTTGTCTTTAGAATAATGGACTCGACCAGAATCGGCCAATCTAAGATCTCGGTTGTGGGATATTTGCGTCACATTGTCCCCGGTTTATCTGCGACCTCGCTAGAATCCTTGTCTCAGGGTTACCTGCCTTCTCATCCCTCGCACAGGATCTGTCCACGCTGGGTTGTGACCCCCACGGGGTCCGTACTCGCTCTCCACCATGGATGCCCTCTACCACCAGACCAACAAGTGAGTCGTGCCCATGACCTTTGTCATCTGATGCCACCACGCTGGCTGCACTCTGCTCTCCTGCAGTGGACTTTGCCGTACTCGCAGTGCTGATGCGTGCTGTTACGTGCCACGATTAGGTCATTGTGCCATGCTGGCGCTGGCTGCGCTATCGTAATTCCTAGGCATACCGTGATGGCCCTGATAAGCCTGTCATTCTTGACGACTGTTTTTGATTGTGACGGAACTTGCTGGGTGCACGGTGGTGTTACTGTGCTGCACAGGACCACTCCGGGGTTGATGTTACTCTTTCAATTGTTGTTTGTGATGCGGATAGGTTCCTGTCAACTCACATGATATTATGTCTCGCCTCTGTGTCTCTCCCCCTCTGTCTCTCCCCCTGGCTCCACCTGTGTCCCCCCTTGTCTCACTGTCTTCCTGTGTCCCCGTTGTCTCTGTCTCCAGGAGGATCCACGAGGTGCAGGGACACATGAGTCGCCTGGAGACCAGTGACAAGCAGTCCCTGCACCGTGAGTCATTGCTCAACGATAACCTTGGCTCCATCTAACCCGAGGTCCAGCCTCAACATTAATCACCACTGGCTCCATCCATCTCAGTCCTAGCCCTGGCTACGTCTTAGCAAAAACCTTTCCTTCAGTAAAAAAACCCGACTGCCGATCTCCAGGATCAACCCCAATCCAGGGTTCCAGCCAATCCACTGTTGGATGAAGGCATCCCCACTCCACCACTATCTTCCCATATGTTACACGATGTCAACTTTTATTTATACACAACTAGCTTTACTACCCGGCTTCGCCCGGGACTTGGATTCACCACGCCCGGACGCCGTTGTCTCTCCAGTGGCGATATTCACACCACAACAGTTAGTAGTTTGAGGCTGAGTCGACCTAGGGGAGGCCCAGGACCGGTTCAAATAATCGTCACCGGCGGTGGCCGTGAGCGGGAATCGAACTCGGGTCGCCCGGTTCATAGGGCAGCGCTCTAATCACTACACTACCGCTCCCTCCCCATACACACACGCGCGCGCGTCCATAGGTACACATACACGCGTTTGCTGCGGACACACACAACTTTCAGGGTGCGTACGGTAGTAAACGACTGAAATAATAAAGCAATGCTGCGCGAAGAATGCCTTAGACCTGCAACACATTTGTATTTTAGTTTACCCGCGATCAGCAGGCACACTCCTTTACGCTTCCGCACACGGGTCACATGACAGATGTGACGTCACAGCTCACTTGCTGTGCAAAATATATGCATTATTGCGCCCCCCACCTCCCAATTTTTTAAATATATTTTTAGAACTTTTGCATGGTGTACAGTCTGAAAAGTACCGATATGGAAAATTTCAAGTTTGTTGCATGTCGGGAAGTACGCTAAACATTTTGAACAGACACACGTAATCACAAATTTGCCTTTTATATATATAGATGAAGTTTGTTTCCCAAAATGAGTGACTGTATTACAACTTCACCCCCCTCCGAAACGTGTGGCTGGGTATGCTGCTCCACGGAGACAAAGATGATCTGTCTCCCCCTGTCAGTGGTGGAGAAAGAAATCCAGGAGCACATCGAGCAGATCTTCAGCAGCTGCGAGCGGCTGGAAATTCTCGCCAGCAAGGAACCACCAAACCGGAGACCCAACGCAAAGCTGTGAGTGAACGGTGTTCAGGGAGAGAGAGCAGTGTGGCCGGGGGGCAGAGGTCGCAACCGGGTACCCGATACCCGTACCCTACCCGATACCCGGCTACCCGTACGTACCCGGCCGGCTACGGGTACGGGTAGCCGTTTGCGACCCTGGTGCGGCCGGGTACGGGTACGGGTACAGGTAGCCGCACGTGACTCACCCCAACCAATGAGTGAGAAGGCCGTGAGTCACTGGTGAGTAACCGTTTGTCACTCATTTCCCAACGTCTTGTCTCTTCTCAAAATTCAAGTTCCTAGAATCAACCCACCCGCGCCTGCAACATGGCTTCATCCCAGAGGTCGCAATCGGGTACCCGATACCCGTACCCTACCCGATACCCGGCTACCCGTACCCGGCCGGGTATTGGGTAGGGTACGGGTACCCGTTTGCGACCCTGGTGCGGCCGGGTACGGATACGGGTAAGGAATCAAAACCCGTTTGCGACCTCTGCCGGGGGGGGCAGCCACGTTGCTGTAATCCAGCGCTGTGGAGGCAGCAGCAGCGAGGGTTGGTGGGTCACGCGCCACGGATGCTACGAAACTTCTTCCCGTGGGCGTCGAGGAGGAGACCGTGCCCTGCTCGCCAGGAGAAGGCGGTATAGAACAGTGCGGACTAATCGCCGGTCGTCCCTTCTGCATACCTGTCAGCCCCTTATCAGTGCCTACCTGATTACAGACATATTCAGACCTTACTGGTCACCCCGTGCCCCTTACAAATGTCAACGTTCATCCTACAAAGTCCCATCACAAGGGAGAAACACAAACACATCGAATTTGTTGTTGTTGCTCGTGTAGTGACATAAGAAGGGAGGGGCTGCTGGGGGCTCTGGGACCCTGGGAGAGCCCCCAGCAGCCCCTCCCTTCTTATGTCACTACACTCGCATTGAAACGGTTGTACGCCGTATGGACCTGAAAACTCAATTTCCCTGTACAAGAATACGGAGTAAACCGTACGGGTTGACAGCTGTGCTTCTGTATGGGCTAGACTGTTGCTTCCGCGCATTCGCGGCTTTTCTCTGGGTGCTTCAGTTTCCTCCCATACGTGGATACTCATGAATTGGCTGATAACGCCGTAATGTGTAGAGGACTGCAGAGCTTTGGTGAGAATTAGGAGCCTGGCTGCTGCTGCCTGTCCTTCCCGTCTGTGGTTCCTCCCCGCACCTGGGAGTCATCCTCTCTCTTCAACAGAGCGACGGACGTGCGGCGGTGGTGGCACGCTGCACGTTGCCGTGACGATTATTGCCAATGTGTTGAACACACTGGCAATGAAAGCAATGCACTCGATCATATCTCTCCGTGAAGATGATAGTTCCATCGATCCGCTTCACTCAGTGGTAGATTGTTGCTCATGCTCCTGCTGCTGCTATATACAACTGTACAATCAACTTCATCCAAAAATGGATTGACCATGGTGATAATATCATCATCATCAGCCATGGTCCGTCCACTGCTGGATGAAGGCCTCCCCACACTGTTGCAGTTCCTTACCGCCCGGTGCCGCCACCATCCATCGCACTCCCATGCGTGGCCCTGATCTTTTGGCTCCATCTCCGCGGCGGCCGTCACCCCTTGGGCGCATGTTCTGCCTGGGCCGCCATTATTAGACACCTAACAACGGCTAATTAATGACCACTCCGGTTCCCGGCTACTGCCAGCCAGGGCCCCTCCACCCCTCTCACCGGGCCCTCCACACGAGAGCCTCTTGACACCAGATCCGTCTCGGCAAACTCTAACCCCATCCTCTCCCCGCATCGTCACCGAATCACCGTCTCTCGTGCGTTTGCACTGCACCTCAATACGTGTCGAAGCGCCCTGCGGCAGTTTAGCCACGGGGGGGGGACCCCCATCGGCAGCTGTCCCTGTGGGCGGCATAAAGTCTGCCGGGAGGGGGCGATGCCGCTGTGATTTCCAAACAAAGTAATTTGCGGGTACATTTTCAATACTTGTGTAACAGGTTCCGGAGACACTTGTAGAGGTAACTTCTTTATTACAACACAACACTCCAACAGTCCTGGTACTCTGCTACAGCTTAGGTACACAGCCTAGCTACACAGCCTAGATACTCTACTCTGGCTACGCTCCGGAACTCGCCCTCACAAGGTCGTAGCGTCGGGAGTTCCAGAGTCCCAGCGCTGGCTCTCACAGCATCCCAGGGTCTTCAGATGGCTGGTCGTGGGTCTTGGGTCTTGAGTTACAACTGGGGCCGATCGTCCAGGGAGCTCCGGTTATATGCCCAGTCCCCAACGAGGGGTGGGGCCGTGTGCGCCACCAGACATCCCACAGAGCACACACAGCCCCCCCCGTTGGTGGCGCCCAGAGGCTTAAGCGTCTGGACCCCCTGGGAACCCAGCGCCTGGCGCCCAGGGGATTACGCGTCTGGACCCACCTGGGAACCCAGAGCCTACAGCAGCCCCTCCCTTCTTATGTCACTACATTACCCCCCTCTATGTAGCCTCCAGCCGTCCCGGCTGTCAATAATTAGAAAGTTTAAATTAACGAAAGGGAGAGAGAGAAGAAAAAAAAAATACGCGAGCTTCAACAGGAAAAGAAAAGAGAACAACAAAGCAACCATAAATACCATAACCAACCTGTACAACTCTACACTATATACAAGCATCAATCAACAAAAAGGTGAAGCAATGACACGTGAACAAACGACCCGCGGCCCACCTAGCCCTCCTCGGGATCCGCATAGAAAACGGGGAATTAACAACAACAAATATATAGATTCCGACGCGTTGGATGCCCAACCAACACCGGTAATCGAACCGAAATCACACAATCACCGCATGGATGGCAGGGATCCACACCACCCTGCCAGCCTCCCATCCGTCAGGTGGAGAGAAGGCGAAGACCAACATGTCGAGCATCCCTCTACACGCACTTATCCGGACGTCTGTCTACGTCCCGGGTCGAGAAGTCGTACTTCAGGGCCGACCCATGTACTGGGCAAAGAAGTCGTACTTCAGGGCTGCTCCAGTATCTACATTTTAAAAATATATATATATATAAAATTTACATGACACAAACAAAATAAATCTGCCTGCTCCTGTCCATAAATGGTGGCCGCACGCATGAACCGCATCTCCAAAAGGCATCCCGTGCTTGCGTCCCAGCAGCCCTCAATGAGGACCACCACCCACATTACATGTCAACCGTTTGCACCCCCCGCCTTTCCAACGTGGCGTCTCCATCCTAAAACCGCGCACGTCGGCCATATCGGGGGGGACTTCAACCCAGTCTCTCTCCAAGACTCGCATCGCAGCATATAGCTGTACCGACCGATCTGAGACCCAACCTCTCTCCAAGACTCGCATCGCAGCATATAGCTGTACCGACCGATCTGAGACCCAACCTCTCTCCAAGACTCGCATCGCAGCATATAGCTGTACCGACCGATCTGAGACCCAACCTCTCTCCAAGACTCGCATCGCAGCATATAGCTGTACCGACCGATCTGAGACCCAACCTCTCTCCAAGACTCGCATCGCAGCATATAGCTGTACCGACCGATCTGAGACCCAATCTCTCTCCAAGACTCGCATCGCAGCATATAGCTGTACCGACCGATCTGAGACGACCCATTGTTCACTCCCTGCACAACATGCACCCTAACAACTGAGGGATACAGTCCCAACGTAACGGGACAACTACACCTGAACACCACGAATCTCCAGCCCACTGTTTCAACGCGCCTCGGAGTGTTTCAATCTCCGGGCCGTCAGGGTGAGCCTACTGCTCCAGACGTACCACGGAGGGTCTCAACCTCCGGGCCGTCAGGTCAAGCCGTCAGCTATTCCATGACGGGACCACACTCTCCGAGCCATGTGAGCGCACAGCCCACTAGGCTAGACATGCCACGGAGTGTTTATCTCCGGGCTGTCAGGTCAAGCCGTCAGCCATAGCATGACGGGACCACAACTCTCGTGTTAGACACGCAACACCCGCTGGGACATCCTGGTCAGGATCTGCACCCCAAGATATTTGAGAGCCAGCATGACAATTCCAATCCTTGGCAGCATGTCACCATCTCAAGATAAATGCCCCATACAGTATATACATCGTTAACAATGACAGCACAAGCTATACATTAACAATCACGAACAAAGCTCAATATAAACCATACATTGTTAACAATCACAAGCAAAGTTTCGCACACACATTGACAACACTCACGAGCGAAGCTCCACACAGTTTACCCAACAACAGTCACGACTCCCCGACGACAACGAAGAAAATATCAACAAAAAAATCATTAATCCGGAGCGCGTAAATGTACGAAATGTCAGGGGCCTGGTCTCCCGACCTCCAACCTTTGGCCAGAGCAGCAAAGGCGGCGAGCTGCGTGTCGGTCCATGTGCCGGCCCCGGCGCCGGTTACAGTAAGAATGGCGCCCTCACTGTCCGGTCGCAGCGCTGATGACGCGGCGTGCTAGGTTGCCAACAGCTGTCACCCGGCGGTGAGGGACGCAGCGCTGATGACGCGGCGTCGTCGGGTTGGCACACGCTGGGCCCGGAAGTGACGTCGCTCCCAGCGGTCACTGCTCCTCTGGTGGAAGTGATGACACACCCGGAAGTGTCCCTCACATCCGTGGGGGGAATGGCGGCGCGTTGGGCTCGGGCGAGCGCCGCGCCTCCTCTCTCCCTCCCGCCATCGGCCGCGAGCACCGCAGCTCGCCCAGGAGGGAGGCGGTGGCGCAGAGCAGCTCTGCGAGGCGAAGCAGCGCCTCCTCCATCTCTGCTCCCGACGCTGGAGAGGGGACGGTCGGCGGAGCAGACAGCTGCTCAGCCGGCGGTGCGGCGTTGTTGTCGGCCGGCGGTGCAGCGTCGCTGTCGGCCGGCGTTGGCCGCCCCATCGCTGCCTGCTCCTCTTCATCGCCGTCAGGACTGAAGGTACGTGGTTCACCTCTTGTCTCCATTGCCACTTCTGACGCCAAATGTAACAGGTTCCGGAGACACTTGTAGAGGTAACTTCTTTATTACAACACAACACTCCAACAGTCCTGGTACTCTGCTACAGCTTAGGTACACAGCCTAGCTACACAGCCTAGATACTCTACTCTGGCTACGCTCCGGAACTCGCCCTCACAAGGTCGTAGCGTCGGGAGTTCCAGAGTCCCAGCGCTGGCTCTCACAGCATCCCAGGGTCTTCAGATGGCTGGTCGTGGGTCTTGGGTCTTGAGTTACAACTGGGGCCGATCGTCCAGGGAGCTCCGGTTATATGCCCAGTCCCCAACGAGGGGTGGGGCCGTGTGCGCCACCAGACATCCCACAGAGCACACACAGCCCCCCCCGTTGGTGGCGCCCAGAGGCTTAAGCGTCTGGACCCCCTGGGAACCCAGCGCCTGGCGCCCAGGGGATTACGCGTCTGGACCCACCTGGGAACCCAGAGCCTACAGCAGCCCCTCCCTTCTTATGTCACTACACTTGTCAAATTTTAATTCGTAAGATCGCAAATTCAAATCCTGGCTCATGGGGGAGCTGGGGATTGAGCCCATCATCCCTTCCTCCCTACCGCCGTGGTCAATAAAATAGGGTACTACTTAGTGAGGAAGTTAGCGGTGGTTGTGATATGCATAGACTCACGCCGGGCCACAGCAATGTGGAATTTGCACCACTGGTCCAGGGCTGTGAACATGAGCAGATCGCTCCTGACTTTTTTGAATGAAGCCACGGGTCCTTTCGTGAGCTCCTCCGCGTTATGGTTCATACAACCGGCAGTATTATCCAGGACAGCCGCCAGGCTCGAACCACCGCGAACCCCTACAACAAGCGGCTAACTCGCTGCCGCACGGTCGTGTCACCGCCCCCTCCACCCCCCCCGCCCTCCCGCCCCCGCTCCCCAGGCGAGTGGACCAGCTCAAGTACGACGTTCAGCACCTGCGAGCGGCGCTGCAGAACTTTGCTCACCGGCGCCTGCAGCGCGAGCAGACGGAGCGCGACCGGGAGGAGCTGCTCGCCAAGTCCTTCACCACCAACGTACGCACGGGCTCCATGGAGTCGACTGGGGTCTAGTGTTTGTGGTCGCTCGCTCGGGCTGTCCTTGAAAGCGGCACGTGTGCCCGTGTCTTCCCAACGGCATGTCTGTCCGTGTGTCCGGCTGTCCGTCTTGTGTCCGTCAACGTGTCAAAGTGTCCATCTGGCTCTCCGCATGACGATCTCTGTCCATCCATCTGTTTTATTGCCTGTGTGCCCCTCCGTCCGTTTATCCGGATGTCTGTCTGTGCGTCCCACTGTCCATGTGTTCGTTTGTCCGCTTGTCCGCGAGTCCGTCCATGTGTGCGTTCGTCAATTCACGTGTCCATCCATATGTCCGTGTCCTGTGTGTCCGGACATGTAATTAGTTTTATATTACCAGATAAGGCCCACTGAGCTATGTAGCTCTTTTTCAGAAGCGACCTGCCCACAAATGATAGCTCAACGAAGCGGCTTCTCACGAGGACATATCAACGCACGTTGATTGTAAATGTGGAGGGAAAAACTGGGGAACCCGGAGAAAAATCCACGTGCCCACAGGGCGAGGCAGTTAACATCTCGTCACCGTGGCGCCCGCATGCAGGACGCGGACACGTCCATCGCCATAGACGAGGCGCTGCAGTACAACTCGTCCCTGCGCAACGCCCACTCGGGGATGGACGACCTCATCGCCAGCGGCAGCGGCATCATCGACGGGCTGCGTGACCAGCGCAGGACGCTCAAGGTGCGACGACGGCGCTGTCCGCCAGCGCCAGGCCCATCTCCCGCCAGCAGCGCCGCGAGTGTGCAGTCACGGGGCTGCGCACTTACACTTATTATTTACGTGTGCGTGTGTGCGCGCACTCATGGGCCTCCCCTAGGTCGGCTTGGCCTCAAAATTAGTACCTGGTGAGGTGTGTAAACATCGCCACTGGGGAGACAAAGGCGTGGTGCTGGCCACCCACCCCTCCTCGTGTGCCGTGCCGGCCTTCATAGGTGCTCACTAACAGCACTTGCCCCTAGTCTTTTAAAGCTATATGGGGGATCTTTGTCTGTGTGTGCGCACTACAGGGCCGTAGTGTAGTGATTAGCACGTAGCGCTATGAACGCAGCCAACATCAGTGACGAATATCTGAACCGTTCCTGGGCCTCCCCTAGGTCGCTTCATTACGTTGTGTGGTGTGTAAGCATCAGCACAGGTGCTAGCCACACCACCCCCTCGTGTGCCGTGCCGGCCTTCATAGGTGCTCGCCAACAGCACTCTTGCCCCAACATTCCGCGAAAGCCTACACGGGGGATCTTTGTCTTTGTTACGGCAGGGCGCTCAGAAGAAGATCCTGGACGTTGCCAACATGCTGGGCCTGTCCAACACGGTGATGCGTCTCATCGAGAAGAGGGCCACGCAGGACAAGGCCATCATGGTGGTCGGCATGCTCATCACCTGCCTCATCATGATCGCCGTCGTCAAGTACCTCACGTGAGACGACGCGGGCCCCTTCCCTCCCCCGCTTCTTCCACTCATGGAGCGGAGGGAGCGGAGGCACCAGAGGGAGCGGAGGGACGCTGACGCAAGCGGTCACCGACACCCGAACGCAGTGGTCGTTGCGAAGCGAACGCCGGGATGCGACGGGGACCCCGCGACAATTCGGCCACGATCGATCCACCGTTGGATGAAGGCCTCCCTCCCCCAAGCCGTCGCCATCCTTCACGTTTTTCACGATGCGGCGGTCCGCCCACCGCCTGCGCACGGGTCCGATTTCGTCGCTCCGTCTCCGCGGCCGGTGGAGCCGGTACCCTTGGGCGTGTCCGCACCCCGGGCTGCCCGCGGGGTAGCTCACCGCGCCCACCGGCCATCGTCGTCGGCTCCGGTGGTGCGGTGTCCCGAGCTCCCGTCCTCTTGTCAACCGTCAAACTAATAACCTTTGACCTGCTGCTTCGTAGACAATGCTATTTTTCTAAGTCCCCCACCCCTGCAGACCCCATAATTATTACGGAAATGTGTGCGGCGCGTCGCCTCCTTCAACCCCTGGCGAGGAACACTCGTTGGACGAGGAAGGAGATGACGTCACGGACTCTTTAATTTCCGACTTCGATTCGATCGGCCCCGTTATCTCCAACGCTTCCCTCGGTATCCCCGACGCCCGCCTCTTCGTGCTCCCTTGCCAAGACGCGTTCATCGAGCGGCAGTCAAACCGGAACATTTTAGACTTCGGAACTGTAATTTGGAGACTTGAACGTGACGGGAATTGGTGACCGGGCAAACATTTTCCACTCGCTAGAGAAACCCGGTTTAGTCACAGCTCAGCTCAGGCCTATGCGAGTCTATGGGTCTCGATGCAAGTCATTGGTGACCAGGCTGAGGCCATTAACTCACTCAGTCCATCCGAGCCTGAGCCTCTGTGCGAGTCCACGGATCTCTGTGCGAGTCATTGGTTGACCGGGCTCGAACCATCAACTCGCTAGATTTGAGAACCCGTGTAATCACTGAAGACCCGGAATAGGACCCAGAATCTGTAGCATCGGCCCAGCGTCTCCGACACGGCAATTACATGCGTTTCCTTCACCTGCGTAGACGCAATTCCATCTCCCGCGGCGTTCCCTTTCGCGGTAAACTGTGAATGTCTGCGCGGTTGTCCGCATCCATTGCTCCGTTTGTGCCGCCGGTTCTATGAGCCGGGCGGTAATTTGGTGGCGCGGTGACGATTAATAAATGCGTGGTTCTGAGCAGCCGATTCTCGCTGGACGCCTACAGACACCTCCACACTGTTCACCCACATTGTGTGTGTGTGTTGGTGTGTCCGTCACGTGGGGAGCGGTAGCGTAGCGGTTAGCGCGCTGCGCTATGAACCTGGCGACCCGGGTTCGAATCACGCTCACGGCTAACACCAGTGACGATTATCTGAACCGGTCCTGGGCCTCCCCTAGGTCGACTCAGCCTTAAATGAGTACCTGGTGCGGTGTGTAAACATCGCCACTGGGGAGACAAAGGCAGGTCGGGCGTGGTGCTGGCCACCCACCCCCTCGTGTACCGTTCCGGCCTTCATAGGTGCTCGCTAACAGCACTTGCCCCTACAGTCTGTTAAGGCTATACGGGGATCTTTGTCACGTGGCATCAAAGTGCACCTAGCCTGGTACACAAGCGCTGTGGTGATGTAACCGTCAATTCGTGGCGAACGAAGGAGGCTCTTTTCTCTTTCTGTGTGCCACTGTGAGGGAGTAGTGGTGCAGTGGTTAGCGCACTCCGCCATGGACCCGGCCACCAGAGCTCCATTGCCGCTCACGACCAATAACCGTGGCGAATATTTGAACCGGTCCCGGGCCCTCCCCTAGGTCGACTCGGCATTAAACGAGTACATGGTGGAGTGTATGAACATCAGCACTGGGGCGACAAAGGCGGCCCCGGGTGTGACGTTCCTTCTCTTCCCGTTCCTCTAATTTCCCCAATCCGCTGCACCCTCGACTCGACACTGCTTCCCGTGGCCAAGTCGCGGGTAACAACAACAGTCGCTCGTGACGGACGATAAAGCACACCTCCGGAGCAACGTGAAATGTCCTTTTAATTGTGTAAAGTGCAAACGTGGAGCACTCGAGGGCAGCCCTCCACTTGGTGGCAATCTTAGGGCAACAGTCACCAGCAACAGGGGGGGGGGGGCTGTAGGGGCTGTTGCCACCGCCAAAGTTGTATGAACCTCGCGGCCCAAATATAGGGACTCCTCTACTTACGAACGGGTTAGGTTCCAGAGGTGTCTGTTCGTAAGTCGATTTGTTCGTAAGTCCAACTTTACTCCTGTCAATTCCAAACGTGTTGTACGGCGTGTACACTAAACACGGGGGGAATGGATTTAAAAGTTATATAATCTCCTGCAGATGCAACTGGTTCTTCACGTTCTACAGATGTAGATGTCACCGCCGCCATCTATTGCGCGGCGGTTGAACTTACGACTCTCGGTCCGAACAGGCAACTTGGACATACGGACGGGTTTGTTGGTATCTCTAGAAATGCGTAAGTCGAATGTTCATAAGTAGAAGAGTCCCCGTATCTGGACTGAACACATGTGATCGCAGCGCCCCATAGTGGACACCTCTGGGCTGGCACCTTCCCGGCAAATGAAACACGACAGCTTCGTCAACGACACACGTGGCCTTAAAGCAAATACATAAATATATAATAGGTGACGTATCGTTCAATGGCCCTTTATCATAGCACCTGGCAACGTGCTCCGAAAAATTAGGCCATTTATCCCAAAACGTTGCCGATTATATGCTTTTCTTTTGAAGGCCACTTGTGTTATTGACAAAGCTGTTGTTGTTGTTGCTTGTGCACCACTGTCAACGTAGCAGCAGCCGCATGACCGAATTACATTTTTCGATTTAAAGCTTTCGTGACTGCAGGGATTCATCTTCTTGGTTCTTTCGGTAAAGTCATGTAGAAGGGAAATAATAAAATATAACATAATAAAATAATTCTCACGACGTTTCGGCCACAACGCAAGCAACCGTCCCTCAGGTGAGGACGGCTGCTTCCGCTTGAATGGGATGTGATTAGATGGTGTGGTGGTGGTGGTGATGGTGTTGTGGTCGCGTGAGGGCGGCGTGACGGTATGGTGTGATGCGACGGTGTGGTGGCATGATGGTGTTGTGGTGTGACGTGATGAACGTAACGGGGCCCATTTCAGAAGTTGAACTGAAGCAGCAGATGAATTCACAGTCTGCACTCACCATTGCCAAGCAGCCACAGACACACACAGTGATTGGCAAGAGCCAGGGGGTCTGCAGCCAAAATTACAATGGTAGTAGCCATTCTTTTCGAATTCGGTAAAAAAATTAATAATAATATTTCAAGAGCCGCGTTGCACGTCAATACGAGATGGTGGTCCTGAATAACATCACGGAGCAGTTCCTTGGAAGAGCCGCATGCGGTTTCTGAGCCGCAGGTTGGCGCACCCCTGGGCTAGTGAGAACACTACCGAGTTGCCAGTTGCTCATGGTTCCCGCGTTGCCGGCAACAGTTGCCGTGGACGGTCACCCTCGTGGACGACGGCCTTTTGAGACTGCGCCCTCCGCTAGAAAGCGCCGAGCGGGAAATCGCTACGAGATCTGGAGACGCGCCGATCGTTTTTTTTTGTTCTAAACCGACGGAATCCGCGACATGTGCGCCCGCGAGTCATCTAAAAGGTCAAGAGGTCATCGCGATCCCAGCCAGCCGTTATCTCCCCTCGTATGTGCGCTAAGCTAAACGCTCGTTCACAGCGGAATTGGCCAAACGATCCCAAACGCAGTTAAGACGTTCATTAAAAGCAGCCTTGAGACTCGGGAGAGGGCCTCCCCAAGTTAAGTAAACAAAAACACAAATAAATATAACACCATTATCACATTTCTCGTTACACACGCAGTTATATTCGTAACCTCGAAGTTGCTTACCCTATCGTGCCAATTATCCACGTGGGTTATCGAGTTCTTCGAATCCTGGGCACCGCTTTATCGGGGGGGGGGGGGGGGGGTTTGGGGGGAAAGAGGCAAATAAATAACCACGTTAAAACTGATTTGGTGAGCGACTTTCTTGTGGTGGAGCACACACTAGAGGCCCCGTGTAGAGATTTTTTCGTAAAATCCAGCAACTCTAAAGATTATCGAAGTATCCGAAAAGTCAAGAGAAAACCGAGTGAGCTCGCAACGCTGTGGGCGTGACAGCGGTTGCTAGGGGGTGATGTCATCAGTCCCACTGCGCCAACCAATCGGCTGCCAGGACAACCCCCCACGCAACATGGCCGCCGTGAACTCCCCCCCCAATGCAACATGGCTGCCACTAAGTCATCACGACCTCTCCTTCAGCCAGTCTGTGTTGAGGTAAGCATATTTGTGATTAAGGTTTATCATAAAGCATTATTATTGTGACTGTCGCTGACAAATGCGCAAAGGAGCGAGTGGTCCCAACCACCCTCCTAACTTACCAAAATGTCCCAACTCCCTTATGGAATGGCAGCTGTGACGTCTCATCTTACGAAACTTCTAGATTTTCGTAATGTCGCTCTGTACAGGGAGGGGGGCCCAGCGTGGAGGTGTTCCGACCTCGAACTTCACGCTCGCGGTGGGATCACCTCCACGAGAGTCATTGAAACCCCCAACAATCCTCTCCCCCGCCGTTACACGCGGACGGACAGGGGCAACGCACAAACGCTTTCAACTCGAGGCGTTGGGACACTAGAAACAGGAGGCATGCGCTGGGGGTATGGGAGGGAGCTAAATACTAAAATGTACAAACTTCTGACTTAATGTACGAAAATCATAACCTCCCCCCTCCCTCCTACAGATACGTAACCAGTGCTTAACATCAGCCGCCACTTGCAGTAATACCTCTCTCTCCGTCACCCGGCACACCACGTCCAGTATACATCTCTCTCTCTCGCAGTGGGCCGTGACTACGACTGGTCAGGTGCCACCTACGACTGGAGTCTACCAGCGACCTCCATTAGATTTCCGAACCCCAGCACACCACATTCAGTATGCCTCCCAATGTCGCTTGGGAGGGAAACTTGACTCGTTCGGAAACTTCCCTGCACATCGCCCAAGCACTGCCCAGAGGGAAGGGGAAGACTGGGGGACAGGCGGGGGTGGGGGGGGGTGGAGGTCAGTGGGGGGGGGGTGGTTATGAATCATAATACTTGAATCTATAATCGGTCCAATCACACATGACGAAAAACATCTCACAGCACAGGTGATCAGCCTAGGGGCCCCCCCGCTGGGTGCTGTCCCTGCACGTCACAAGCTTGAACACAGCACCGGCCTGACAGTGGGGAGCCGGTGCTGTGTTCTGGCGCGGTGGGGGGGGGGGGGTGGAGGGAGCGACGTTGCTTTACGGTTTTACCCAATCATGTAATTTTTACCGCGGTGTAGTAACTCTAATTTGGCGAAATTGCAACGCGGCGCCAGCACACGATGGGGCCCACTCTTGCGAACGACGTCGCGGGATCTTTTGACGCCCACGGTGAAGCGGACGGCGCGTGGTAGCAGTATTACTACAACTACTACTACGGTTAACACACACCGGTGTTCACCGGGGCGGCCGCTGGGCTCGAACCGCGAGGTGGTCACGTGACCCGAAGTCAGCGGGGTCACATGACGAGGCAGCTGCTCTTGGGCTGGGGGACGACACCGTCGGCCTTCTCGATCTCCACGATGATCTGCTTGAAGACGTCCACCGCGGCCTGCACTCGGCACACCACATCCAGTATTCACGCCTCCCCCTCTCTCGCAATGGGCTGGGATTTACGACTGGTCACGTGCCACCTACTCCAGTCTGCCGGCGACCCGGAGAATATAGAGAGTTGTGCGAATGATGATGGTGACTACAACAATTATGTCAACGATGATGACGATTGTCATGATGACGATGAGGATGATGAAGATAATGGCGATGACGGTGACGACGATGACGGCAGTCGGCAAGGCGGCGCTAACCTGGTTCTCCTTGGCGGACGACTCCATGAACTCGGCCTTCCACGCGTCGGCGAGGCGCTTCCCCTCCTCGCAGGGGATCACCCTGCACCACGGGGGCAGCACAACACCCCCGGCAGCGTTCAGCGCCTGTTACACCCCCAAACCTATAGCGCCTGTTACACCCCTAGCCCTATAGCGCCCGTTACACCTCCGAGCCCTATAGCAGCCGTTACATGTGTGTACGTGCGTGTGTGTGTACGTGCGTGTGTATGTGTACGTGCGTGTGTGTGTACGTGCGTGTGTGCGTGTGTACGTGCGTGTGTGTGTACGTGTGTATGTGTGTGTGTACGTGCGTGTGTACGTGTGTGTGTGTGTACGTGTGTGTGTACGTGTCTGTGTACGTGCGTGTGTGTGTGTGTGTAAGTGCGAGGAGCGACGCTCACAACAACGAGCGGAGCGCCGGGTGGCTAAAGCACAGCAAGTTGGCACAGTAGGGGGCACATGTGGTGCATCAGCCAGTCATCTCGGTCATCTCAAGTCAGTCGACCCGTGGCACCTGGGTCTGCCCCGTGACCTCCTGCCAGCGGGGGTTCGACACTTCACGTGGCCTCAAGGTGCACATGGCCTGGCACAAGCGTCGTGGTGACGTCACCGCCACTTAGTGGCGAATGGCGGTTGTTGTTGTGCGTGTGTGTACGTGCGTGTGTGTGTGTGTACGTGTGTGTGTGTGTGTAAGTGCATGTGTGTACGTGCGTGTGTACGTGCGTGTACGTGTGTGTGTAAGTGCATGTGTGTACGTGTGTGTGTACGTGTGTGTGTACGTGTGTGTGTACGTGCATGTGTGTACGTGTGTGTGTACGTGTGTGTGTAAGTGCGTGTGTGTGTGTGTAAGTGCATGTGTGTACGTGTGTGTGCGCATGCATCGTCACCTCTCCAAGTGAAGATCTTTCTTGTTCCCCACCAGCACGATTGGAACTCTGGAATAGATAAAAATTAAAATAAACAAAACACAACCAAATGGTTCGCCGCTTGTTGCAGAGGTTCACGCGGTTCGAGCCATGCGGCCACCCTGGTTAATACTACAGGGTCTAATAACCGTAACAATCCTCCTACTCACGGTGGGCGTTAAAGATCCCCGTGAAGTCGTTCTAAATCGAGTCGGCCACCGCGTGCTGGCATCACGGTCCAAATTTTTTTAATTTGATAAATAAGCGCGGAAAATGTATTAATGGGGCAAAACCACGCAGCAACATCGCCGCCTACTATACCCATCGGTGACACACCGTGAGGCCATCCATGACGTAGCCCTGCGGTTTACGAAGGGCACGACTTCCAAATGTACCAGAAGATGATTAACACCGACACCGAGAGTGATTTAACGCTTTCGTGATGCAGGGATTCATATTCTTGGTTCTTTCGGTAAAATAATTTTCTTGCTGTAGACTTCACACCTGATGATGATTGCTTGTGTTGCAGTCGAAACGTCGTGAGAATTTTTATTGTTTTATATTTGCATTATTTTATTATTTCCCTTCTACGTGACTTTACCGAAAGAACCAAGAATAAGACTACCGACAGTGATGTCGATGGCTCTGCGGCAGGGCGTTTAGATCAACAGCGGTCGTTATCCTACCATTAAACTCACGTCCCCCACTCCCCTGCCGTAGAAATGCGCAATTTCCACCGCTGGCTCTGCGGGGCTGTCAACACGAGATGTGAACCACCGCTAATTGCGGCGAAGCAGGAAATCACAGCCTTGACGGCAAACACCGCGGGCCAAAGGCTTTACCGATGTCCTGACCACCGCGCTCTTGGCACAGAGCCTGGGCCAAGGGGGCGTAGTGGAGCTGAGTGAGCGAGCGAGCGAGGGGCAGTGTGACTCGTTGCTGCTTACTGGACACTCCCCACCATGTCGAGCAGCTTGTCGTGGATTATCTGCACAACCTCAAAACTGGAGCGAGTGGGGGAAATAAAAGAGACACGCACACACACACACACGCACACGCGTTTACGCATGCACACGCACGTGCAGACAAAGCCCAAATATCCCCCCCCATATAGCCTTAACAGATATTAGGGGCAAGTGCTGTTAGCTAGTACCTATGAAGGCCAGAACAGCACGTGAGGGGGTAGGTGGCAAGCACTGCGCCCGACCGCTTTTGTGTCCCTAGCGGCGATGTTTACACACCGCACCAGGTACTCGTTTTGAGGCTGAGTTGACCTAGGGGAGGCCCAGGACCGGTTCAGATAAGTCACTGGTGTTGGCCGTGAGCGGAAATTGAATCCAGATCGCCAGGTTCGTAACACAACACACTCATCGCTACGCCACTGCTCCCCCACACACACACGCACATACGCGCACACACAACTACAACTGCAACATTGACGGCAGCTTGGTCTTCATAACCAAACATCAGGACGTTATCGCCGGCCAGAGCCGTTGGCTCCCGAGACGGTCGCAAGTCTCCACCACAACTGCGGATGTCAGCTGAGCCTTGGAAAGTGCGCTCATTAACAAGAGCGGTCAAGCTCGACGAAATTTTCGCGCTCCGTAATGGACGTATTACGCACGTGGCCGCGAGAAGCACGCCACGAACTGGATCAAAAGCAATCCGCAAAAAGTGGGCCAAGTTATAGAAGGCGGAAGGCCGATAACAAGATAAAAAAAGACGTGTACAGCCCTTTTGTCAATCCACTGCTGGATGCGAGGGCTTCCCCCCAACCCCAGCGGCCGTGCGGATCACGGGTGGTTCATTTGGCCATACTTCACCACGCAGGTGCTCAGCTGACCTCTTGCTGGAGGTGACGGAGTACACCAGCACGTAGCCGTGGATGTCCATGGAGTACGACTGGGGGAAGATCGAGTACTCGTCCTGCAGGAACGAGCACAAAGACAAAGCTCCATCGCGTCGTAGCCTTCGTGGACTTACGGGGCAAGTGCTGTTAGCGGGTAGCACCTACGAAGGCTGCCATGGTGCTCCGCTGACGGGGCGGTGTGGCCGACAACATGCCCTTCCGCCTTGGGTTTCCCCAGCACTGACACAGGTACTCATTCAAGTTCAAGTTCATTTATTAGGTATAGCCCTGTGAGCCATTCGGCTCTTGAATCGGGTGCAACCGCAACAAACAAAAACATGAACAAAAAAACATCTTAAAGTGAATACGTGACTAAGTGCAAACAGAAAATCCAAGAAAAGACAGCAAAATATTGCAGAAAAAGCACCGTACACCAACGCTGTGTGCCAAAAATCCCAGTGGAATGCAAGTCAAACAACAACAACAACCACAAGACAACTTAGATTAAGGCCATCAGTCTAACTCTGTACTACAACAAACAAACATGGCCAAACCAATACACTTTTCGAAATCACCAAAATAAAGCCATGAAAGCAATGAAAAAGCAATCATAGGAAGCTCGAGTCGACCTAGGGGAGGCCCAGGAACAGTTAACGATATTCGCCCCCCTACTGACAGGCTAATACCTCGGGGTCACACCTGCAAATCAGACTACGCTGGTCTCCTGAGCTCTCGCCTGCTTCAACAAAATTAAGTTGAAAAATTCAACTCGCCACCGCACTCTACCATTTACCCAATCTCCCGCTCGCAATCTCACCTCGCCTGCTCACCCACTCGCCCACTATTCAACCATTCACACTCACTCACTCACCCACTCAGTCGCACAGGTCACTTGACTTCCCACCTGGTTAAACAAGATCAGCACGCACCTGCCCAGCCGTGTCCACCAGCTGCAGGTTGAACTCCTGTCCGTTGATGTGGAGAGTTTTCGTGAACGCTGCAAGAGGAAAGAGTCGTGTACAAATATCAATGCAAAGGTCTCCCCCATTTGGCGTTTAACAAGACTTGTCGGGGGGGGGGGGGGGTGGCAAGTCCTGCCAGCGAGCGCCTATTTAAGGCCGGAACGCCGCAAAGACGAGGTAGATGGCCAACGCCACGCCCGGCCGCCTTTGTCTCCCCAATGCTGATGTTTACAAACGACACCAAGGACTAAGGCTGAGTTGATCTAGGGGAGGCCCAGGACCGGTTTAGATATTTGTCACATGTTTACCGTGAGCAGAAATCAAACCCGGAACGCCGGGTTCGTAGTGCAGTGCACGAACCGCTACACTACTGCAAATATCCCCCGTATAGCCTTGACAAACTGTAGGGGCAAGTGCTGTTAGCGAGCACCTATGAAGGCCGGAACGGTACACGAGGGGGTGGGTGGCCAGCACCACGCCCGACCGCCTTTGTCTCCCCAGTGGCAATGTTTACACACCGTACCAGATACTCATTTCAGGCTGAGTCGACCTAGGGGAGGCCCAGGACCGGTTCAGATAATCGTCACTGGTGTTGGCCGTGAGCGGGAATCGAACCCGGATCGCCAGGTTCAGCGCGCTAACCACTACACTACCGCTCCTCACACACGCACACATGCACGTACAGTATACAGATATATAAACAACTTCAATTGTCTGTGTGCCAGTCTGCACCTCCGTCTATCGATCCATGTCTGCCCGTCCACCCTTGTGCGTGTGAGCGTACGATGTGTGTGTGTGTGTGAGACTCGGATGTTTGCGTCGTCTGCATGTGGCATGTGTGTTGGTGAGTGTATGACGTATGGCCCGCACCTCCGATTAGCACGGTGTGTGTGCATGCATATTATGGGTGCATGTGTGTGATGTGAATGTGCATGTAATGTGTGTGATGTGAATGTGTAAGATGTGTGTGCGTGCATGCGATGTGTGTGTGTGTTTGCGCGTGACGCCTTTGCGTATGTCTTTGTGACGTACGAGTGTGTATGTGATATGCGCGTGTGTTTTTGCGGCCCGGCATGGAGCTGGCCACCCATCTCCTCGTGTGCCTTCATAGGTGCTCACTAACGGCACTTGCCCCAAAAGTTTATCGAGGAGGCTATACGAGGGACCTTTGTCTTTGTTTGCGGGATTGTGGGGAGTGCATCTGCCACTCATCTCAAGTCAGTCAACCCACGGCACCAGGCCTCTCGCCTGTGGCCTCCTGCCTGCAGCGACAGCCTCCCATACTTCGTGTAACGGCCTCAAAGTGCACCTAGCCTGGCACCGGCGGTAAACTAACTGCCACTTAGCGGCAGCTGTAGTTGTTTGCGTGTGACATCTGTATGGGGTGCCGCTATGGCGAGTTGTTAACTCCCGCGCCTGGTACGCAGGAGGTCGTAGGTTCGATCCCGACCCCGACGCCTGCTGTGTGTTTGGAGTCTGCGGTGTCTCTCTCCCCGTGGTCGCATGGATTATTCTCCGGGTCCTCCCGGTTTTTCCTTCGATATTTAGAATCAAGGTCACGCGCGTTTAGGGGCCGTCCATTAATGATGTCACGCAATTTTGGATGATTTTTTACCCCCCCCCCCCCTCGTCACACAGCGTCACAAAAAGTCAGACCGCCCCCTCAAATATGACGTCACAAAGCTCTGCCCTCCCCCCCCCCAAAAATAAAACATGCTTCAAATCGCTTTAAACTATTGTCATTATAGTGCGTATTTAATGTGGCGCTGCACTCTGATGTTGTAGGAGAAAACATTTATTAAAAGTCTATTTAATTAAGTAGAACGTGTTGTCTATTTATTTAAAGTTGCGCATTTTGATGTGACGTCACATTTCTCAAACCCCCCCCCCCTCGTCACACATCGTCACAAATGTCTGACCCCCCCCCCCCCTAGGTGCGTGACGTCATTTATGGACGGCCCCTTAAGAGTTTTTGGCTGCCATACATTTCCACACGACGACGACGACGATGATTGTCCGCCTCTTCGTGCGACCTATCATTTGTGACGGACAGGTGGCTTCTGACCAAGAGCTACAAATTTCAGTGGGGGCCTTACACCTGTTAACAATAAAACAAAAACTGGAAATAGTTTCAGTTGAGTGTTGGGTGTTGGCGTGCGGATCGTGGGGGGCCACGGTGCACTCACTGTTCTCAATGGTCGGATCGTAGGAGTCCACAAACTGCCCCTCCACGAACTGGATCGTCAGCGACGATTTGCCTGCGAAGCACAACGCAACATTTCAAAAGCGGTCAACATTCGTCCCGCATCTTCTTGGTTCTTTCGGTAAAGTCACGTAGCATGGAAATAATAAAGTAATAAAAATAAAACGTAATAAAATAATTCTCAGTGAGAATTATTTGATTATGTTTTATTATTATTTAATAATAAATAATAAAAATAAAACATAATAAATAATTCTCAGTGAGAATAATTTTATTGTTTTATTGTTATTATTTAATAATAAAATAATAAAACTAAAACATAATAAAATAAGTCTGTTTTTATTATTATTTAATACATAATAAAAACTAAAACATAATAAGATAATTCTCAGTGAGATTATTTTATTGCTTTCTTTTATTATTTTATTACTTCCATTCTACGTGACTTTACCGAAAGAGCCAAGAAGATGAATCCCTGCAGTCACGAAATCTTTAAATCGAAATTTAATTCGTCCCGCAGTTTGCCCGATAAACCCGGCCGACGAGCACGCTCTCCCCGTGACGACGCGCCCCGAGTGGCTCTGTCGGGTGGTGGAGGGCTGTCGTTCACGATTGAAATACACGACGACCTCACAACCCAAGCGTAACTCATGACGAAACGAAACACGACCACATTAACCACATTAACCATAGCCCTACCCCTACCCACATTCGCCATTCAGACCCTAGTCTAACCACATTAGTCATAACCCTACCCCTGACGCTAACCACACTAGCCATTAAGACCCTTGTCTAACCACATCAACCACAGCCCTACCACTAACCACACTAGCCAATCAATCCCTTGTCTAACCACATTAACCACAGCCCTACCCCTACCACTAACCACACAAGACAACCAGACTCTAGTCTAACCACATTAACCACAGCACTACCACTAACCACACTAGCCAACCAGACTCTAGCCTAACCATATTAACCACAGCACTACCACTAACCACACTAGCCAGTCAGACTCTAGCCTAACCACATTAACCACAGCACTACCACTAACCACACTAGGCAATCAGTCCCTTGTCTAACCACATTAACCACAGCCCTACCACTAACCACACTAGCCAATGAGACCCTAGTCTAACCACATTAACCACAGCACTACCACTAACCACACTAGCCAATCAGACCCTAGTCTAACCACATTAACCACAGCACTACCACTAACCACACTAGTCAATCAGTCCCTTGTCTAACCACATTAACCACAGCCCTACCGCTAACCACACTAGTCAATCAGACCCTAGTCTAACCACATTAACCACAGCCCTACCACTAACCACACTAGCCATTCAGACTCTAGTCTAACCACATTAACCACAGCACTACCACTAACCACACTAGACAACCAGTCTCTAGTCTAACCACATTAACCACAGCCCTACCACTAACCACACTAGCCATTCAGACCCTAGTCTAACCACATTAACCACAGCACTACCCCTACCACTAACCACACTAGCCAATTAGACTCTAGTCTAACCACATTAACCACAGCACTACCACTAACCACACTAGTCAATCAGTCCCTTGTCTAACCACATTAACCACAGCACTACCGCTAACCACACTAGTCAAACAGACCCTAGTCTAACCACATTAACCACAGCACTACCACTAACCACACTAGCCAACTAGACTCTAGCCTAACCACATTAACCACAGCACTACCACTAACCACACTAGCCAACCAGACTCTAGTCTAACCACATTAACCACAGCACTACCACTAACCACACTAGCCAAACAGACTCTAGTCTAACCACATTAACCACAGCCCTACCACTAACCACACGAGTCAAACAGACCCTAGTCTAACCACATTAACCACAGCACTACCACTAACCACACTAGCCAATGAGACCCTAGTCTAACCACATTAACCACAGCCCTACCACTAACCACACTAGCCAACCAGACTCTAGTCTAACCACATTAACCACAGCACTACCACTAACCCACTAGCCAATTAGACTCTAGTCTAACCACATTAACCACAGCACTGCCACTAACCACACTAGCCAATGAGACCCTAGCCTCACCACATTAACCACAGCCCTACCCCTGACGCTAACCACAGGAGCCAACAAGAACCACCGGGCTCTGGGCAGCCCCCTCGTGGTGGCGAGCCGAGATGGCGAGCAGTGGTCGAGATCGGTGATGGAATGGCAGCAAGAGGAGCGGGGGGGTGGAACGCGACGAAGAGGAGAACTACCTCCGCCTTGGAGACGGAGCGATGGAATCAGGGTCACACGCGGGAACGATGGATGGGTGGTGGCAGCCACCGGGCAATACAGCAGTGGACTGAGCATGGCTGATGATGATATAGATTATAGAACCTCGTTGTGTATCGTCATCATCAGCCGTGTTCAATCGGATCGATGGAAACGCCAGTGGGATTGAACCAAGTCGAACACGGTTGATTATCCCACATTGATCGGCACATCGATTGGCACATTGATCGTCGGCTCGACACTCACCCACGGAGCGGTAGCCAAGGATGGCGATCTTCCTGAACTTGGCCATGGTCTCGATCTTCTAAACGTGGTTTCCCTGCAGACTCAGCTCCACCAAATTCTTTGGCGGCCTCTTCTTCCCCTGCTCCAGATCCTCTCTGGTCTCGTGTCCACCGCCACCACCAGACAAAACAAAAAATCCCGTGGTCTCTTGTACCAAATCCTCTGCTCTGCTGTCCAGAATCTGAATGTGTATTTATACCGGTGGAATCCGATGAGCCATAAAGCTCTTGTTACCCCCCGCTCCCCCTTCCCCCCAGACAGACGTACAACCAAAACACAGTCCTCTCTCGGTGTCGCCTCGACCACCACCAAACGCCCTGGGGGCCTCGTCTCAACCACCACAAAACCACCACCACCACCACAAAACCACCACCACCACCACCACAAAACCACCACCACCACCACCACAAAACCACCACCACCACCACAAAACCACCACCACCACCACAAACCACCACCACCACCACAAACCACCACCACCACAAAACCACCACCACCACAAACCACCACCACCACCACAAAACCACCACCACCACCACAAAACCACCACCACCACCACAAAACCACCACCACCACCACAAAACCACCACCACCACCACAAAACCACCACCACCACCACAAAACCACCACCACCACAAAACCACCACCACCACCACCACAAAACCACCACCACCACCACAAAACCACCACCACCAAACCCTCTCGCTCCCGCTCACTCGATACAATTGAATGGGCAGTAGCCGCTCTCAAATTCCCTACACGGCATAGGCGGCGAGGGTGAGGGAGGGGGCCCCAGTCCCGGCTTCCAATTGGACGAAAGCCTCCCCGAGAGTCGCACGTGATTGGCTCGTCAAGTCCGCACGCGCCGAGCGCGCGATGGAGGGGGCGGGGGGGGGGGGTCCGGGCAGCCAATCAGAGGTGGCCGCTGGCGGATCGCGGCGCTTATCCGCGTTACGAAATTCGATGCCCCGCCCCTCGACGCCCCGCCCCGCCCCCCTACGCCCCGCCCCCCCGCCGCTCCCCCGGGTCGTGTGACGTCACGCCAGCTGATCGTAATCCTCTTCATCGATCAGCCGGTGATGATCAACAAACACAGAGCCATGGTCAAGTCCACTGCTGGATGAAGTGCATTGATTGTTGATTCCGCGGTGGGCGGCCTCTCAGTAGAGGAAGGTGCAGCAAAAGCAATTGCACTGTTGTACAGTACTGTACTGTGCTCCCATGGCCCATGCTTCCCGCAGTGACCAGCGCGGTGAAGTTCAAGTTCATTGATTAGGTGCAGCCCTGTGAGCCATTCGGCTCTTGAATCGGGTGCAACCGCAACAAACAAAAAACAAAAACATGAACAAAAAACATCTTCAAGTGAATATGTGACTAAGTGCAAACAGAAAATCCAAGAAAAGACAGTAAAATATTGCAGAAAAATCACCGTACACCAACGCTGTGTGCAAAAATCCCAGTGGGATGCAAGTCAAACAACAACAACAACCACAAGACAACTTAGATTAAGGCCATCAGTCTAACTCTGTACTACAACAAACAAACATGGCTAAACCAATACACTTTTCGAAATCACCAAAATAATGCCATGAAAGCAATGAAAAAGCAATCATAGGAACTGTGACGGAATTTTCACAATAAATGGCATTAACAACATGTACTACCAAAACCCTGCAGCCATAGCTGGCTGCATGAGCCACTCCACAACAGCAGGAGCATCAATCGGAGTATTATAATTTTTCAATGCACCTTTAAGATCAGCACACTGAATCAAAACACAGGTCATACTTTGCAGCGATCATCCGGAGCGAAACATTCTATTTTAGGCCACTGAATAGCAGTGGCAGCTAGGGGTGTACAACTCCTCTAAAGCAGTTTTGAGTGAAGATCTCATATGGTCGTGAAACCGACACGGCCCGCACGGTGTGGGGAAGGGGGGGGGGGGCCTCATCCAGCAGTGGAGCCACAGAGACGGCTGTCTGTGCGTGCAGGTGCGTAAGAGGAGCGGTGGCGCAGCGGTTAGCGCACCCGCGCTACGAACCTTGCGACCCAATCGATTATCTGAACCGGTCAGTGGGCCTCCCCTAGGTCGACTCGGCCTCGAATGAGTACCTGGTGCGATGTGTAAACATCGCCACCGGGGAGACAAAGGCGGTCGGGCGTGCTGCTGGCCACCCAACCAGCCAGGTGCCGTGTCGGCCTGCACAGGTACGAGGCTAACTGCATAGTCCATCCAAGTTATACCGAGGAATCTTTATCTTTGAGAATATATCTCGCAGTGTACATTACTCTTGTGCATTAGGGGCCGTCCATAAATGACGTCACGCGATTTTGGACGATTTTTTACCCCCCCCCCCCTCGTCACACGGCGTCACAAAATGTCAGACCATCCCTCAAATATGACGTCACAAAGCTCTGCCCCCCCCAAAACCATATTTCCATTTTGAAAATATAACAAGCTTCAAAACGCTTTAAACTATTGTCATTGTAGTGCGTATTTAATGTGGTGCTGCACTCTGATGTTGTAGGAGAAACCATTTATTAAAACATCTATTTAAACACATTCTTGCGGAGGGAGCTGGTAGGAACGTTGGGTTGCTCGGTCAATGGCCTGCAGGGTCAACGGCGGCGTGGTGTATTCCGCAAAATATGGCCGACTGTGAGGGCGGGCACAAGCCGGCGTGAGTAGGTTAAACGTTAAGTTTTATAAGGGCACCACGGGGTGACCAGCCCCTCCCTACCCAGCCCCACCCTCCCTACCCAGCCCCTCCCCACCCTCCCCTCTCCACCCAGCCCCACCCCTCTCATTTTTTGATGCACGACCGACGGACACAATAATCCCCTGGGGGCTGGTGTAACCAAGAGGTTCCTACCAGTTTTAAGTAGAACGTGTTGTCTATATTTATTTAAAGTTGCGCATTTTGATGTGACGTCACATTTCTCACACATAGTCACAAATGTCTAACTCCCCCTCCCTAGGTGCGTGACGTCATTTATGGACGGCCCCTTATTCCGCTTGTAGCCCAGCAAGAGGCTCGTCGGAGCCTCTTCCAAGGTTCGTGTTCGTGAGGCTCTTGCCACGTGTGAGCAGTAGGGGGCGATGCTGCCGCTGTTGTGGAGTGACTCATGCAGCCAGCTATGGCTGCAGGGTTTTGGTAGTACATGTTGTTTATGCCATTTATTGTGAAAATTCCGTCACCGTTCCTATGATCACTGTTTCATTGCTTTCATGGCTTTATTTTGGTGATTTCGAAACGTGTATTGGTTTAGCCATGTTTGTTTGTTGTAGTACAGAGTTAGACTGATGGCCTTAATCTAAGTTGTCTTGTGGTTGTTGTTGGTTGTTTGACTTGCATCCCACTGGGATTATTGCACCCCGCGTTGGTGTACGGTGATTTTTTTCTGCAATATTTTGCTGTCTTTTCTTGGATTTTATTTTTGCACTTAGTCACATATTCACTTTAAGATGTTTTTTGTTCATGTTTTTGTTTGTTGCGGTTGCACCCGATTCAAGAGCCGAATGTCTCACAGGGCTATACCTAATAAATGAACTTGAACTTGAATGCTGCCGCTGCTGCTGCTGCTGCTTGCAGCTTTGCTGGGTTTGAGATCCCAGCCGAGAGCGATTTGCGGTGCGATTCTTCATCATTTTGCGATGCTGTGGCCCGGTGCACGTTACGTCGCGTGGACTATTATAACCACAAAACGCATGTACAATGTTAAACATTGAGTCTCTTATTCTTTGGGTCTTTCGGTAAAGTCACATAGATAGGTTCAAATAAAAAAATCTACGTTTCGATCGCAACACAAGCGTTCTTCCTGATGATGACCGCTTGTGTTGCGATCGAAACGTCGTAGTTTTTTGTTCTTTTTTGTTATTTTCTTTGAACCTAACTAAGTGACTTTACCGAAAGACCCAAAGAGTATTAATTCCTGCAGTGACGAAAGCTTCAAATCCAAATAGTCACGAAAGCTTTAAGTCAACATTGCGTTTCTTGTCTAATTCATATTTTTAATCAGGGGGTTATAGGATTTCATAAAAATAATACTAAGAACGATAATAACCACGATACTTAGCAATATTCCGCGATATTTTGCAAAAGGATGATGCAATTATCGCAGATATGTTATTGTGTACATACGATATATGGTGAAACTGACCATTTATCGTAATGATGTATCGTGAAATTGACGATATATCCTAAAACTGACGATATATCGTAAACTGACGATATATCGTAATTATGTATCGTGAAACTGACGATGTATCGTAAACTGACGATATATCGCAATATGATATATCGTGAGAATGACGATCTGTTTCCTCCGCGTCCTCCGGCTTTGCCCTCCACATTTCGAACCACCAAGCGTTTTAGAGTCGTTGACTGCCGCTTATACACGCCCACGTGATCATCCGCTTCGTTGAGCTTTCATTTGTGACGATATTTACATCGAATGGTCCGTTTCAGCCACCAATCGACCGGCTATTTTGACCATCGACCGCAAGCGGAAACGATTAGCATTTTTTTTGGGGCGCAGAGAGTCAAGGACGCGACGGGGTGTGGCGGGGGCCCGACCTTGATGGAGGTCACGCCGGGGTCAGAGTCCAAAACTAGGGAGCAGCACTCGGCAGAACGAGGTGGCCGGTTCGATCTCCAGGCGCGGCAGCTGTTAACGACGGGGGCACGTTTCTGGACACGCACGCCCCACATCCTCACTCCCCACCTCCGACCTCCGTGCCCCCCCCCCCCCACAACAGCAGTGCAGCAATGAACGGGCTCACCACTTGCCGTCAAAGATCGGCATGCCGCGTGCGGTGGGGTACATTTGTGGGTGCTCGAAAACGTTTGTGCAGCGTGAAAGAGTAGACCGAAAGCCATCCTCTAGCCGGGCTCTCTCTCTCTCTCTCTCAAGAACTCGCCCGAGTGATTTAAAATCTTTACGTAGACTGGAGGAATCCGATGAGCTATGAAGCTCTATTTTCACTGTTGTCCAACAGTTCCAACAGATGTGTAAGGAATTGCAGGGCTGCACCTTTATCTGTACCAGCGGAACACTGCGCCATTGCTGGATGAGAGGCCTTCTCAATGCCAGTGCGGGGTTGGTGAATGCGGCCCACTTTAGACTTGGTGATGGGGGGGGGTATATAAAGTACAGTCCAACATCACAATTGGTTGTCCTGCTGCTGCTACATTCCTTGAGATTGTGAAGAGGGCTGATGCGTCGTTGCGGGTGAGTCGGTGTCAGGACATCATGGCTCACGGTAGATTATGGTGGTGGCTGGGTGGGTGGGGAGTGGTGCGAGATTTAAGAACCTTGCACCAATGCGTCAAACCTTCAACCGCCGCGCCCGGAGATCGAACACACGCGACCCTCTGGATCGCAAAGTCCGACGTGCTAACCATTACACCACTGTGGCAGCATCCAAGGGGCAATTATGTCGCGCAAGAATTCGCTTCTGACAAATAGTTAACCGTAGTAAAAGGTTTAACCACCACGCGATGTCACGTTGGTATTTGTGGAGTTAAATCCCCTCCCTCCCCCCCACGTGTTCCGATCGTAAAATCAGAACCGAGGCGTTGGTTCTCATTTTTCTTTTCAAAAGGCACCGAGCCACGTTGCTGGTGGTGGAAATTCCACATTCCCATGGCTTCCCCCCACAAAGTGTTCGGTCAACATCACTCGTCAAGGACGCCGTGTGTGGCCTTAAAAATAAAAGCCCCATATATAATACACGACGTTCCGGGCAATGGTCCATCATCATGTATGTTTTATTTCAGTGATGGGCCGTAACCCGAAATGTCACCTGATTTATATATATTAAAAATATGTACGTGTATGTCCGGTTGCGAGTGATTTTTTTATATATAATAAGGTGACGTTTCGGCAAATGACCCTTGCCCCATCGCACACAACTCATTTGTATTTATCTTCTTGGTTCTTTCGGTAAAGTCACGTAGAATGGAAATAATAAAACATAATAAAATAATTATCACGACGTTTCGGCCACAACGCAAGCAGCCGTCCTCAGGTGAAGAAACAGGTCAGTCGAGAAGACAGAGTCTGAATGACAACCCAAGGCTTGGAGCGTCTTTTTTAAGCTGGGTTGGAGGGGGGGAGAGCGCCTTGACAAAATAATTTGCATATCAAGATGAATTTAGCATATTTATGGGAAATGCAGATATGCGATTAGTACTACTTGTGAAATGCGTAGGAGGTTTGGCGAGGGGTTTAAAGTCATCATGCCCGCGCATTATGCAGGATTAGCAGCATCAAAGGGAGGGGGTAGGGGTAGCATTAATATCGAAATTCATTTGTATCTATTTACGTACTATAAGGGAGGGGGGGGGGGGGTGGAAAGGGCCATTGCCTGAAACGTCGCCCATCCGTTATATCTCTCAAGATAAGGTGACAGCAGTGAGAAGAACTCGGTCGCATCGGGCATTGACAGCAGCCAAGAGCCCCGCAAGGCCATCCTCGTCCACAAGCGACCAGGCATTGAACTCGCAACGTTTTCACTGCGTGTGTGAGCCGCTCTCTCACTCACTCGACCGCTCGACCTCTCAACCCCTCGAACTGTCAACCGCTCGACCGCTCACTCACTCGACCTCTCAACCACTCGTCCTCTCGACCGCTCGTCCTCTCGACCGCTCGACCACTCAACCTCTCAACCACTCAACATCTCAATATCTCGACCACTCAACCACTCGACCACTCAACAACTTGCCCTCTCAACCTCTCAACCTCTCGACCTCTCGACCTCTCGACCTCTCGACCGCTGGACCGCCCTGGCCGGGGCTCCAGATGGATATTTTAAGAGGTCGACTGAGAGACAAACATCGCCGACTTGAAAGCCACGCGGACAGGAAGGATGAGCAAGGATAGCGGGACTCTGCAAGGATTAACAGCGACAGAGGCTGCTGCTGCTGTTGCTGCGAGGATGACGTTAATAAAAAAAACATCTCTCGACACGATCGTCAATACCGCGGTGTGGCCTTAAAAGGGGGAGAGATTGACCGTCTCGCATAGCATATAAGTAACGAGACTAAATTTCGATTTAAAGCTTTCGTGACTGCAGGGATTCATCTTCTTGGTTCTTTCGGTAAAGTCACGTCGAAGGGACGTAATAAAATAATAAAAATAAAACATCATAAAATAATTCTCACGACGTTTCGGCCACAACGCAAGCAGCCGTCCTCAGGTGAAGACCAGGTCTGTCGGGGAGACAGCGTCTGAAAGACTACCTTATGGACCGTGCTATGAGTAAGGGCCGTTGCCCGAAACGTCGCCTCTTGTAAATACGCTGGTATTGACAAACGTGTTCACCAACGATGGAAATTCCTAATTTCTCTGGCATTATTGCCCTTTCCTATAACGCAACGTTACTCATTTATCGAACGTAGAGGGATGATGATTATGATCATCATCATCATCATGGAGGGCTGATACCATCCAACCACCTCCCAGTGAACCACACGCGACCGTCAGGGCAATGTTAGCCCGACGTTCCCTGTTTACTGGGCGTGTTGGGAATCCGACCTTTGGCCTTTTTAGGTGTTCAACTTCCTTGTGACCGAAGGCGATGATGGTGGCGTTTTGCATTCCACCCCGGCGAATTGGTGCTATTCATTAACGTGGAGTGGAGGGGGCGGCTCCTTGCGGGCGCTGTTCACCCTCCCCCGGTGCTGAAGGTCGTTCCGGCCACAATTAACGACACCCAGAAGGGGACCAGGAATTGAACTTTGCTCGGCTCTGCTCGCGGACTCGAGTCAATAATAAAACAAAACAATCAGAGAAAGTAAAATCTTCTCCCTGCTCTTACAACCAGTGACGTCACCGCGGCGCTAGTGCCAGGCTAGGTGCACTTTGAGCCCGAGTGAAGTCATTAAACACTCGCTGGCCGGCAGGCAAAATGTCACGGGACACACAAAGACAAAGCCAAAGGGCCCCTGTTATAGCCTTGAACAGAATAGTAGGGCAAGTGCTGTTAGCGAGCACCTATGAAGACCGGCACGGCACACAAGGGGATCAGCACCACGCTCGGCAACCTTTGTATCCCCAGTGCTGATGATCATAAACACGGCTTCAAGGACTCATTTAAGGCCGAGTCGACCTAGGCGAGAGCCCGGAACCATTTTCAGATATCACTCCCGACTCATGTTAACCGAGAGCTGGGATGGAACTCGGTCCGCTGGCTCACTGCGCAGTGCGTTAACCACTGCACCACGGCTCTGACACCACGGTCGTGAATATGGGCTCCATCTTTTCCATTCATACCCAGATCGCCCCGGGAGGTTCACAGCCAAACAAAAAATAACTTCGTAGGTCATGAGAAATGAGGAAGGCTTCATCCAGCAGTGGACTGACCACGGCTGATGATGTCTGATGATGTCTGATGATGAGAATGACAAAAATGGGCACCTGGGCTCAGTTAACCCATTGGCGTAGCGGCTTGTTTGTCATTATATTATACTTTTATTGCCAACCGTTCGCTCCAACGAGTTAGCGAAACCCAGGACTCGGGCTGGGCCGGCTCGCCGCTTCCTTGAGGGCAGGAAAGGGTCCCCACCCCCCACCCATCTGTGAGGGCAGGGAGTAGTCGCAGGTCTCCCTGTGGAGGAGACACCATCCGTCTCGCGCTCGGATCATTCACCTGGAGCCGAGGACCGTGAAGGAGGCTGCACGCGGCAAAGGAACGACATGGTGAGTGACTAGACGGGGGGGGGGGGGCACAAGGAGATGGAGTGACAGAGAAGGGCGGGGGGGGGGGAAGATGATGAGACGGGGAGATGAGATCGAGTCGGAGTCGCTGGGTAGAACAGCAGCAGTCACACGCTGAGCCAGTCACGCACTGCCCACGCTGTTTGCGATCATGGCACCGCTGATGATAATGATGCTGATGATGCTAATGACAGTGAAAATGCCAGTCGTTTCAGACACGGCTGTTTGTGTTGCTGCGGTGCTGTGAACTTCTGTCGCACCGTACGTAGCCAACCGTGCTAATCCGAGGTGCGGTGTATGCTTGTAAGTATGTTGAACTACACACACACATGAGTTTTCAATCATGATGATTTCAAAGCTCTGTGTGGGTTCCCAATTTCGGAAGAAATCGCGTTCCAGTCGGCCACAGTGACCGTCTTTGTTAGATGGTCAGCCAAAAGCCGCTGTGAGGAGGACCGGAGTTTGCGGGATGGTTTATTTTCTTTGACTAGATCAGCAAGGTATTGTTTTACATTTGTGGCAAGCACTTTAGGCAAGCACTTTGTGAAAGTGCTTGCTTTGTGAAAGTGCTTGCCCAAGGCGGGATTGCATGGTGTTAAAAGTTGGTTTGAGGTGCGTATTACTTTCCAAATCATCTAAAGATGGAATGCGCATTATCAATTTGAATTATTATTATAATTCGAAGAATACGGAAGCAATTGTCGGGAAAAGATTCGTATCTTGGATAAAAAAAAATCAATAAATCCGAAACTCATCACGGGACTTGTGAGCTCTGTACCATCACCATCACTCCCATAACTACCATCGTGACCATTGACATCATCACCACTACGATCATCACCACTACCATCACCACCACTACCATCACCACCACTACGATCATCAACACTACCATCACCACTGCCATTACCACCATCGTCACCAAAATCACACTTCAATTTACGGAACTAAGAGTCTTGATTGGTCAAGGTAAATTATCCGTGGCCAATAATTTATCTCAGTTAAAAGCACACTGCGCTAATCACTGCGCCACCGCTCCACCACAATAATAGTTATGAGTACCGGTGCCATTATAGATTAGAGCATCGCGCTATGAACCCGGCGACCTGAGATGAATTCCCGGTCACAGCTAACGTTGCTGGCGAGTTATATCCTCAAGAGATTCTTGGGCACTCTAACTTTCACCAACTCGCGCTGACCAGTGTGGTGAAGTATGGTCAAACAACTCCCATGACCCATACGGCGTGGGGGGGGGGGAGGCCGTCATCCAGCAGTGGATTGACAAGGGCTTTTGCGTGTTCACGTGGTTTCGATATTTAGAATCGGTAAATGATGCGGCCAAGGTGCTGTTTTGCACATGCTTGCTCCACTGCTGGCTGGCTGGCGGAAGGGCCGCTGGGCATTAGAGGGAGTTCAAGAGCGAGGCTATTTTTGGGGTGGGAGTACCCACACTTTACCCCACCACCACCACCACGTGTGACTAATCTGCCAATAGATGAATTACTCAATCTGCGTTATGCTCGGCCAATCATCGCTCCCCTACTACGAAACCCTGGCAGGGGGCCTCTTAAAAATAGCCACGAAAATTGATGACGTTTTCTTGGGTAAACAATACTGCTGTCAGTATGATGATGCACTAAACAAATTTACTTTTTGTGCGCAAATCTATACATCAATGTTTCGGGTTATCTCGATGCTTGGGCGTGGACGGCAAGATGGGGCGTGGGGGACCGTTGGGAGATTAACAAAATAATGACCGCTGGTTCAATTGCCGCGCCGGGGAAATCGAACCCAACCGGGAAACATCTGCTACAAGGTCATAATGATGATGATGATGATGATCTTCCTTGGCTCGCTAATCACTCATTGATTAATTCATTGATCGGTGGCTGTGTAGGCAGCTTACGGGCCGCCGGGCCTTCCCAGAGAGGGCACGCTGCTCACTCTACGCAAGGTCTGGGAGAGCCGCCAGGAGGCGGTCGGGACCCCCGGGGCCCCCGGGACCCTCGGGACCACCGCGGCGGCCCCGGCTCGGCAGGCGGTGTCCTCCGGGGGAGGAGAGCCGAGAAGCCGGGGGCGCAGCGAGACGGTGGAGTCGACGGCGCGGGAGAAGAGGCGCAGGGCTCAGAGCTTCCCCGCCAGCAGCAGCGCTCGCGGCAGCTCGCCCGGGAGGGGTCCCCTCGGCCCGAGGGAGACGCGGGCGAGGGGCGAGGGCGGCCGGGAGGAGGACAGGGAGAGGGGCCGAGGGGCTGGGCACCGCCCTCGAAGCCTCACGCGTCTCTCATCCTCCTCTTCCTCGTCGTCTCCGGTGAGCTTGTCTCTAAGGCGACACCCGGCGGCCCCTGCCCCTCTTGTCGTCATCACACCAAAGACAAAGATCCCCCTCCATCCTCTCCCCTCCCCCACCCGCCGCACCAACACCACACCGCTATGGAGCCTTGTGGAGGCTGCTGGGGGCAAGTGCACGGGCCGGGACACCGGTGAGGTGAGCCGCCTGGCCATGCTCTTCATGGGTCGGTCGGTGTCTGACAAAGTACACTTTTTATTTTTTTCTAAACCTGCCATTCCTATGCCATTTTTTAACGTACTCCTCTCAAATGTGAGAGCAATCCCCGCCAAGTTTTGTCGTTCAATTGAGCCTATCGTTAAAAAAATATATTCACTTTCTTAAGTTTATGCATCTGCTGGAATAGCCTGAGGAAATTTCATCCGCCGATTAAAACAAAACATCACGTTCTTGAGGAAGCCCCTACGGAGGTAACCGGCCGTCAGAGGCGGCCCAATTGCAGAACAATGCGGGAATGTGAAGGTCGATTTAGCTCACCAAGTTATGGATAAGGTAGAGGGGGGATAGAGGCGTTAACAGGGGTTGGTCATATAGCGAAGTTTCGCCCCCGCCATTATAATGTGGAATTTCCACCACTGGCTCCGCAGGGCTGTCAACGGGTAGCTCCACCCACTACTCAGGTAACCCCGCCTACTGCGCAGGTAGCCCCCGCCCACTACCCACGTAGCCCCGCCCATCGCGTAGGTAGCCACCGCCCACTACTCAGGTAACCCCACCCACTGCGCAGGTAGCCACCGCCCACTACTCAGGTAACCCCGCCCACTGCGCAGGTAGCCCCCACCCACTACTCACGTAGCCCCGCCCATCGCGTAGGTAGCCACCGCCCACTACTCAGGGAGCTCCACTCACGACTCAGTGATTCGTGATTTTTTTATATTGCATCCATCTGTGTGGATCTTTGAGTGTCACCTCCCCCCCCCACCCCTCGTATACAGCACGATGGTTTTCCTCCGGTTTTTATTTTCTATCTCCGTGACTTTACCGAAAGAACCACGAATATGAATTCACATTACAGCTGAGACTGCTATTGTCGCAGGTTTGGGCTGCGGCATATTAAGCAGCACGACCGACAGATTCTTAAATCCATCCGTGCAGCCCTCGGATGCCGCGGTGGGTTTACTTTCCTAACGGTGGCAAAAAGGTGGTGCAGCCCTGCAATGGCCGGCTCACTCCACTGCTGGCTGAGAGAGAACTCCAGAGAGAGAGAGACGGAGAGAGCCCCCGATCTTCTTGGTTCTTTCGGTAAAGTCACGTAGAAGGGAAGTAATAAAATAATAGAAATAAAACATAATAAAATAATTCTGTTCTTCACCTGAGGACGGCTGCTTGCGTTGTGGCCGAAACGTCGTGAGAATTATTTTATTATGTTTTATTTTTATTATTTTATTACTTCCCTTCTACGTGACTTTACCGAAAGAAACAAGAAGATGAATCCCTGCAGTCACGAAAGCTTTAAATCGAAATTTAATAATATAATATAATATTGTTTTATTTTATTATATTATAATATTTCTTATAATATTTATTATATTATATTATAATAAAATATTATAATATTATGTTATTATTTTATTATATTATTATATTTTATTATATTATTTTATTATGTTTTATTTTTATTATTTTATTACTTCCCTTCTACGTGACTTTACCGAAAGAACCAAGAAGATGAATCCCTGCAGTCACGAAAGCTTTACATCGAAAAGAGCCCCCGATGTTGATGATGTTTGTGCTCCACTCTTCCATGCTGGTCAGACCACTCAGAGTAGCCGGAAGTGCCCACACATTACCCCATCGACACGTGACCTGACGGGTGATTGGCAACGGTGATGTGCCCCATCGGCATAGGCGACGGAGGGGGGAGGGAACGCTTTAGAAACTTCCCCATTACTTATAGGGCCGTCCATAAATGACGTCACGCACCTGGGGTGGGGGGGGGGGTGAGAAATGTGACGTCACAACAAATGCGCAACTTTAAATAAATATAGACAACACGTTCTACTTAATTAAATATACTTTTAAATAAATGTTTTCTCCTACAACATCACAATAGTTTAAAGCGATTTGAAGCATGTTTTTTTTTTTGGGGGGGGGGAGCAGAGCTTTGTGACGTCATATTTAAGGGGGGAGTCTGACTTTTCGTGACGCCGTGTGACGAAGGGTGGGGGGTCAAAAAATCGTCCAAAATCGAGTGACGTCATTTATGGACGGCCCCCAAATTGCCTCTGCGGGAGATCGAAGGGAACCGGATTGCAGGTCCAGTGCGTTAGTAACCATCGCCGCGGCGTGCTTATTGAAGAGAGCCACCAGGATGCAGGCATGAGAGGCCACTCTGCGTGGGGAGGCAGATCGATTTCCCCCCAAACCCAACCCCACCGCGTCCCAGCTACTCGCAAGCCAACAGCAGCAGCACCACCAGCAGCACCAGCCCGCTCCCTCCCCCAGCCGTGAAGCCAGTGAGCGCCTCACTCACACTCCCCACTCGCAGCAGCATACCAACAGCAGCAGCAGCATACCAACAACAGCAGCAGCACCAACAACAACAGCAGGACCACCAGTCAACCCCCTCCCCTATCCGTGGAGCCAGTGAGCGCATCACTCGCACTCCCCACACGCAGCAGCACACCAACAAGAACAACAGCATAACAACAGCAGCACACCAATAACTACAGCAGCAGCACACCAACAAGAACAGCAACAGCAGCACACCAACAACAACAACCACACCAACAACAACAACCACAACAGCAGCACACCAACAACAACCACAGCAGCAGCACAACAACAACATCAGCACACCAACAACAGTAGCAGCAGCACACCAACAACAACAACCACAGCAGCAGCACAACAACAACAGCAGCACACCAACAACAGTAGCAGCACACCAACAACAACAACCACAGCAGCACAACAACAGCAGCAGCAGCAGCACAGTCCGAGTTGACGGCCCCGTGTGCCGGAGTCAAGGTGAGGACAGACTGTGGTCTGACCACGTGTGCGCGTGTGTTGTGTGTGTTGTGTGCGCGTGTGTTGTGTGTGTTGTGTGCGCGTGTGTTGTGTGTGTTGTGTGCGCGTGTGTTGTGTGTGTTGTGTGCGCGTGTGTTGTGTGCGCGTGTGTTGTGTGTGTTGTGTGCGCGTGTGTTGTGTGTGTTGTGTGCGCGTGTGTTGTGTGTGTTGTGCGCGCGGTGTTGTGTGCGCGTGTGTTGTGTGCGCGTGTGTTGTGTGTGTTGTGTGCGCGTGTGTTGTGTGCGCCTGTATGGGTGTCGAACCCGGTGGCACAAGAGTTCGGGTCACGCTAAACGGCCGCTGACACCCGTGACGAATTATCTGAACCGGCTCCGAGCCTCCCCGAGGTCGACTCAGCCTCAAAACAGCGCCACTCGGGGGGAGACAAAGGCGGCCGGGCGTGGTGCTGGCCACCCACCCCACTCGCACGCCGTGCCGGCCTTCATAGGTGCTCGCTAACAGCACTTGCTCCAACAGCCTGCGAAGGCTATACTGGGGGAGGCTTTATCTTTTGTGGGTGTCGAATTGGTTGGGGAGTGATGGGGCGGTGGTCACCGCACTGCGCTTACGAACGCGGCGACTCGAATTCCGAGTTTCCAGGCCACTGCCAACATCAGTGGCAAACATCTCAACCGGACGTGAGTCAATCTCCCTCGCGAGAGCACCTGGTGTATGTTTGCCCCCCCCCCCCCACAACCTCATGGGTACGCCGTGCCACCCTTTACAGGTACTCGCTTCACCACAACTGCCTGCGTCTTGTAACACGAAGCGGGGTGGGGGGCGGGCTTGGTCTGTGTCCCACAGGGCTGGAGCAGCGAGCACAGCCTCAGTCGGGAGCACGCCGAAGGCTACTCCGAGTCTCCGACTGTCCGGCACAGGGGTAAGCCACCAGGAGGCAGAGGTCGCAAACGGGTACCCGTACCCGGCTGTACCCGTACGGGTATCGGGTACCCGATTGCGACCTCTGGGATGAAGCCATGTTGCAGGCGCGGGTGGGTTGATTCTAGGAACTTGAATTGTGAGAAGAGACAAGACGTTGGGAAATGAGTGACAAACGGTGACTCACCAATGACTCACGGCCTACCCGTACCCGTACCCGGCCGCACCAGGGTCGCAAACAGGTACCCGTACCCGGCCGAGTACGGGTAGCCGGGTATCGGGTAGGGTACGGGTATCGGGTACCCGGTTGCGACCTCTACCTGGAGGTTGGGACGTGGACAGGGTAGGGGGCAGGGTAGGGGGCAGGGTAGGGGGCAGGGTGGGGGGCAGGGTAGGGGGCAGGGTGGGGGGCAGGGTAGGGGGCAGGGTGGGGGGCAGGGTAGGGGGCAGGGTCAACAAACTAAAGATTGGTAACAGAACGTGGCAAGACAGCGTCCGAGATGTCATCACTGCCCCCCATTTGAACTCGTTTGCCCGCTCCACAGGTCAGCGTTATGACCCCCCCCCTCCCGTCGACGTAACAGGCTTGCTGCAGGCGGGGGGAGCATAGACGCGAGGGCATAGTACAGTACAACAACGCACTTGACTGCACCGCCACCGCCAGGCGCGGCTTAGACGTGGCGGGCAAGGGGGGGGGGGGACCCTGACGAGTCGCGGTTTGCCCATCGCCGCCTCGACCTTAATAGGCGCTCGCCGACTCGGCCGTGCGCAGGGCTGCTGAGGAAGGACCTGGCACTGCTGGAGCCGCCGTCTCTGCGGGAGAGGCTCAGCATGTATCAGTCGGCGGTGTCACGCACCACGGGACAGGTACACACTCACCAGCACCCCCCTCATCATCAACGCTCACCAGCCACCCCCCCCTCATCAACGCTCACCAGCCCCCCCCCTCATCAACGCTCACCAGCCCCCCCCCTCATCATCAACGCTCACCAGCCCCCCCCCCTCATCAACGCTCACCAGCCCCCCCCCCCTCATCAACGCTCACCAGCCCCCCCCCCTTCATCAACGCTCACCAGCCCCCACCGTCATCATCAACGCTCACCAGCCCCCTCCGTCATCATCAACGCTAACCAGCCCCCCCCCCTCATCAACGCTCACCAGCCCCCCCCCTCATCAACGCTCACCAGCCCCCCCCTTCATCAACGCTCACCAGCCCCCCCCACTCATCAACGCTCACCAGCCCCCCCCCTCATCAACGCTCACCAGCCCCCTCCGTCATCATCAACGCTCACCAGCCCCCCCCCTCATCAACGCTCACCAGCCCCCCCCCCTTATCAACGCTCACCAGCCCCCCCCCCTTCATCAACGCTCACCAGCCCCCCCCCCTCATCAACGCTCACCAGCCCCCCCCCCCTTCATCAACGCTCACCAGCCCCCCCCTCATCAACGCTCACCAGCCCCCCCCCCTTCATCAACGCTCACCAGCCCCCCCCCCCTCATCAACGCTCACCAGCCCCCCCCTCATCAACGCTCACCAGCCCCCCCCTTCATCAACGCTCACCAGCCCCCCCCCTTCATCAACGCTCACCAGCCCCCCCCCTCATCAACGCTCACCAGCCCCCCCCCTTCATCAACGCTCACCCAGCCCCCCCCCCTCATCAACGCTCACCAGCCCCCCCCCTCATCAACGACAGCTCACCAGCCACGCCCCCCCCTTCATCAACGCTCACCAGCCCCCCCCCCTTCATCAACGCTCACCAGCCCCCCCCCCCTTCATCAACGCTCACCAGCCCCCCCCCCCTTCACATCAACGCTCACCAGCCCCCCCCCCTTCATCAACGCTCACCAGCCCCCCCCCCTTCATCAACGCTCACCAGCCCCCCCCCCTCATCAACGCTCACCAGCCCCCCCCCCTTCATCAACGCTCACCAGCCCCCCCCCCTCATCAACGCTCACCAGCCCCCCCCCTTCATCAACGCTCACCAGCCCCCCCCCCCTTCATCACGCTCACCAGCCCCCCCCCCCCTTCATCAACGCTCACCAGCCCCCCCCCCCCGCGTCTCACCTCACCACCCCCCCCCGTGTCTCCCTCACCACCACCCCGCGTCTCCCTCACCACCACCCCGTGTCTCCCTCACCACCACCCCGTGTCTCCCTCACCCCCACCCCGTGTCTCCCTCACCGCCACCCCGTGTCTCCCTCACCACCACCCCGTGCCTCCCTCACCACCACCCCGTGTCTCCCTCACCACCACCCCGTGTCTCCCTCACCACCACCCCGTGCCCCCCTCACCACCACCACCACCCCGTGTCTCCCTCACCACCACCCCGTGTCTCCCTCACCACCACCCCGTGTCTCCCTCACCACCACCCCGTGTCTCCCTCACCACCACCCCGTGTCTCCCTCACCACCACCCCGCGTCTCCCTCACCACCACCCCGTGTCTCCCTCACCACCACCCGCGTCTCCCTCACCACCACCCCGCGTCTCCCTCACCACCACCCCGCGTCTCCCTCACCACCACCCCGCGTCTCCCTCACCACCACCCCGTGTCTCCCTCACCACCACCCGCGTCTCCCTCACCACCACCCGCGTCTCCCTCACCACCACCCCGTGTCTCCCTCACCACCCCCCGCGTCTCCCTCACCAACACCCCGCGTCTCCCTCACCGCCACCCCGTGTCTCCCTCACCACCACCCCGTGCCCCCCTCACCACCACCACCACCCCGTGTCTCCCTCACCACCACCCCGTGTCTCCCTCACCACCACCCCGTGTCTCCCTCACCACCACCCCGTGTCTCCCTCACCACCACCCCGTGTCTCCCTCACCACCACCCCGCGTCTCCCTCACCACCACCCCGTGTCTCCCTCACCACCACCCGCGTCTCCCTCACCACCACCCCGCGTCTCCCTCACCACCACCCCGCGTCTCCCTCACCACCACCCCGTGTCTCCCTCACCACCACCCGCGTCTCCCTCACCACCACCCGCGTCTCCCTCACCACCACCCCGTGTCTCCCTCACCACCACCCGCGTCTCCCTCACCACCACCCCGCGTCTCCCTCACCACCACCCCGCGTCTCCCTCACCACCACCCCGTGTCTCCCTCACCACCACCCCGTGTCCCCCTCACCACTACCCGTGTCTCCCTCACCACCACCCGCGTCTCCCTCACCACCACCCCGTGTCCCCCTCACCACTACCCGTGTCTCCCTCACCACCACCCGTGTCTCCCTCACCACCACCCGTGTCTCCCTCACCACTACCCGTGTCTCCCTCACCACCACCCCGCGTCTCCCTCACCACCACCCCGTGTCTCCCTCACCACCACCCGTGTCCCCCTCACCAACACCCCGCGTCTCCCTCACCACCACCCCGTGTCTCCCTCACCGCCACCCCGTGTCTCCCTCACCACCACCCCGCGTCTCCCTCACCGCCACCCCGTGTCTCCCTCACCAACACCCCGTGTCTCCCTCACCACCACCCCGTGTCTCCCTCACCGCCACCCCGTGTCTCCCTCACCACCACCACGTGTCTCCCTCAGGACCACCCCGTGTCTCCCTCAGGACCACCCCGTGTCTCCCTCACCGCCACCCCGTGTCTCCCTCACCACCACCCCGTGTCTCCCTCACCGCCACCCCGTGTCTCCCTCACCACCCCCCCGCGTCTCCCTCAACACCACCCCGTGTCTCCCTCACCACCACCCCGTGTCTCCCTCACCACCACCCGCGTCTCCCTCACCAACACCCCGCGTCTCCCTCACCACCACCCCGTGTCTCCCTCACCGCCACCCCGTGTCTCCCTCACCACCACCCCGTGTCTCCCTCACCGCCACCCCGTGTCTCCCTCACCACCACCCCGCGTCTCCCTCACCACCACCCCGTGTCTCCCTCACCGCCACCCCGTGTCTCCCTCACCAACACCCCGTGTCTCCCTCACCAACACCCCGTGTCTCCCTCACCACCACCCCGTGTCTCCCTCACCAACACCCCGCGTCTCCCTCACCACCACCCCGTGTCTCCCTCACCAACACCCCGTGTCTCCCTCACCACCACCCCGTGTCTCCCTCAGGACCACCCCGTGTCTCCCTCACCGCCACCCCGTGTCTCCCTCACCACCACCCCGTGTCTCCCTCACCGCCACCCCGTGTCTCCCTCACCGCCACCACCACCGCAGGATCTGCAAGTTATTCTCCCCAAGTCTGCATTGTCTCCCAGCAACTCACGTGAGGTGCAGGTGTTCTCGCAGGTGAGTGACTGAGACCCCATGGTGAGCAGAGAGGTCATCCCCTAGACCCCCAGCCCCGCGTGTCCTTGACGAGAGAGGATGATTTTGGTCTCATCAGCGTTTCGTGAGGATAGTGGGCCCTGGTTTTAAACACATTCCTGCGGAGGGAGCTGGTAGGAACGTTGGGTTGCTCGGTCAATGGCCTGCAGGGTCAACGGCGGCGTGGTGTATTCCGCAAATATGCCCGACTGTGAGGGCGGACACAAGTGAGTAGGTTAAACGTTGAGTTTTATAAGGGCACCACGGGGTGACCAGCCCCTCCCCACCCAACCACATCTCTCCCACCCCCCACCCAGCCCCACCCTCCCTACCCAGCCCCTCCCCACCCTCCCCACCAAGCCCCTCCCCACCCAGCCCCTCCCCACCCAGCCCCTCCCTCCCCACCCAGCCCCTCCCTGCACGACGGACACAACAATCCCCTGTGGGCTGGTGTAACCAGGAGGTTCCTACCAGTATGACAATGCTACTGCTCCCTTGTTTAGTCGAGGGGACCCTCGAGTGGCAGCTGTCCCTGTGCGGCTCAAGCTGAAAAACACGCCGCTCAGGCCTGCACATCGGGGAAATTGCAAGACACACACAGGGTGCATCAAACAAAAATGTTGACGCGTTTATGGGACTATCGTTTTTAGTGGAAAATGCACGGATAATACACTGTAAACATGATAACAAATGGATGTTAATAGCTTCCAAAAGTCAAAGAGTATCTCTCGCTTGTTCGCCATCGTTGTCAACACATTGCCTGGAATCTTCTCCAGGTCGTAGGTAGCCAGAGCCCGGAGGCAAACTTCTCGTGGCATTGTTGCAAAAACATTTTTTTAAAGCAAGGTTAATGTCATCAAGCGAGCAACCCATCATCCCTCCCTCCAGAGTCGCTAAAATAAGCACCGCTCTGTGGAGAAGTCAACAGCGGTTTGCCTCCCTTTGGTTATACTTATCCCTCGCCATAGGAATGTGGAATTTCCACCACTGGCTCTGCAGGGCTGTACACGGGCGATGAGTACCAATAGGCTCCGACTGGTGGCTGAGTCTGTGGATCTGTAAAGTTCAGTCTCCAGCTCATGTCTCTTCTGGCCTCTCTGCCCACGTGTGCGACGAGGGAGGAAGGGCCGTGGCCCGAAACGTCGCCCGCAGTGTATTTTCCCCTCTTGAGGCCGACGATTCCCTCAATCACTTTTGCGATCCCTTTCCCCAGGAATCGAAAGGCGTCCCCAATGGCCACGTGGAAGGTGAGTGCGCGGACGTTTACACCACGTGACCTCACACAGGATGTGTCAATCACACACACGGGTTCGACTCCCCGTAATCGGAGGGGGTCTTCATCTCCGTGCCACAAGATGTTGGCCGCGAGCGGGAACCGAACTCGGGTCGCCCGGGTGGTTTGTAAGCGCAGCGTGCTTAACCGCTGCGCCACCGCTCCCCCGCTGTTTGGACTGCCTTTCGGCCTCCACTGGGTGGGCTTAGCATGAAAACTTAGCACCTGGTATGGTATGTCAACATTACACCTGGAGAGACAAAGGCGGCCGGGCGCGGTTCTGACACACCACCCTTCTCATTGTCGCGCGCTGCAGGGCGGTGGTGCAGCGGTTAGCACACCGCATCAGCCCACACGGGTTAACATCGTATTCTTGTGCAGGGAAAGTGAGTTCAGGTCCATACGGCGTACAGCCGTTACGATACAGGCAACAACAACAACAACAACAACAAAATCTGTCTACGTGTTTGTGTTACTCCCTTGTATGATGAACGTTGAGATTTATAAGAGGCACGGGGTGACCAATGAGGTCTGACTTGGTCTGTGATAAGGTAGGGCACTGGTTAGGGGTACGGGTTAGCAGCAATGCGCTAACATCAGTGACTAACATCTGAACTGTTCCTGGCCTTAAATGAGTACCTCGTGTGGTGTGTGCGTGTGAACATCAGCATTGGGAAGACAAAGGTGGCCGGGCGTGGTGCCAGCCACACCGCCCCCTCGTGTGCCGTGCCGCTGTTCGCTAACGGCACTTGCGTGCGTGTGTGTGCGTGTGTACGTGTGTGTGCGCGTGCGTGCGTACATGTGTGTGTGTGCGTGTGTGCGCATGTGTGCGTGCATGTGTGTGCGTGCGTGTGTGCGTGCGCGCGGTGTGTGCGTGTGTGTGTGTACGTGTGTGCGTGTGTGTGTGTGCGTGTGTACGTGTGTACGTGTGTGCGCGTGCGTGTGCGTTGACCAGACGAGGCGTTGTCCACCAGGGAGCGAATCCAGATCTTCGCTCGCCTCACCGTGGAGCCCCCCTCACCTCGCTCGTCCCTCTCGCGCTCAAAGGTGACCTCGCGTGGCCCACGGCTTCACCGCGGCGGCCGCGCGACATAGGAGGCACACGATTTCACCGCGCCGGGGGTTTTTGCGGTGGAAGATTCTGGGGGTGGGGGGTGGCTGGGGAGAGAAGAGGGGCGAGGAGGGGGACAACAAGGGGGGCGATGGAAGTCATCGTCCGGCCGGCCACCCGCCCCCCCTCCCTCCCCTTGGATGGAACTCACGTGGGATTGAGGGAGCTCCACGTGGATCGTCTCGTCCCTCCCTTGTCTCCCCGTGCCCCCCCCCCCCCACCCCGTGCGCAGTCGCTGAGCTCCTACGAGCTGAGCCGCTCGGTAGGGGACAGCACCAGCACCCGGCTGCATCGCGCCTCCAGCACGGACACGCTGGACGGCCACAACTCCACAGGTGCGGCCACAACAACATCACCACCATCAGCACCACCAGCACCACCAGTACCATCAGCACCACCAGCACCACCACCAGCACCATCAGCACCACCAGTACCACCAGTACCATCAGCACCACCAGCACCACCACCAGCACCATCAGCACCACCAGCACCACCAGTACCACCAGTACCATCAGCACCACCAGCACCACCAGTACCATCAGCACCACCAGCACCACCAGTACCACCAGTACCACCAACACAACCACCAGCAGCAGCATCAATGACAAATATTGTTAGCGAGCACCTATGAAGGCCGGGACGCCCGGCCGCCTTTGTCTCCCCGGTGGCGATGTTTACTACACACCGCACCGGGTACTCATTTGAGGCTGAGTCGACCTAGGGAAGGCCCCATGACCGGTTCAGATAATCTTCACCGGTGTTGGCCGTGAGCGGGAATCGAACTCGGGTCGCCGGTTTCGTTCGCGCAGCGTCGCGCTGACCGCTCCCCAGTTGCAGCACCATCGCGCCTTCCTCCGCCGTGCGCCGCACGAGGCACCGTTAACGGCGATGTGCGTGGTGGTGGTGGTGGTGCCGGTGTCTGGTGCTGCGCGCAGGAGACGCGCCGCCGCCCGGCGTGGGGCTGCACCCCTCGGAGATGGTGTCGGTGCGCCAGCGCATGGCCATGTACCAGTCGGCAGTCGTGCGCAGCACGGGCAACGCGCAGGCGAGCACCAGCGCGTCTCCAACCCCGAGCCCGACTCGAACCTCGACCCTAACCGTGGCTAAGACCAGCCGCGGCACGCACTCTTGACGCTGGCACTTGCCGCAATGCTGTCCGCTGACCCCCACTCGAGTTCTGACCCCGGCTCCAACCCTGACCCCCAACTCGAGCGCAAATACCACTTGTCACAACACCGATAAACTAACTCTGACCCTGAATCCAACACTAACCCTGACCATACCACGAGTCACAACACCGATAAACTAACCCTGACCCTGAAGTCAACCCTAACCCTGACCATACCACGAGTCACAACACCAATAAACTAACCCACACCCTGAATCCAACCCTAATCCTGACCATACCACTTGTCACAACACCGATAAACTAACCCTGACCCTGAAGTCAACCCTAACCCTGACCATACCACGAGTCACAACACCAATAAACTAACCCACACCCTGAATCCAACCCTAATCCTGACCATACCACTTGTCACAACACCGATAAACTAACCCTGACCCTGAAGTCAACCCTAATCCTGACCATACCACGAGTCACAACACCAATAAACTAACCCACACTCTGAATCCAACCCTAATCCTGACCATACCACTTGTCACAACACCGATAAACTAACCCTGACCCTGAAGTCAACCCTAACCCTGACCATACCACGAGTCACAACACCAATAAACTAACCCACACCCTGAATCCAACCCTAATCCTGACCATACCACTTGTCACAACACCGATAAACTAACCCACACCCTGAAGCCAACACTAATCCTGACCATACCACTAGTCACAACACCGATAAACTAACCCTGACCCTGAAGTCAACCCTAACCCTGACCATACCACGAGTCACAACACCAATAAACTAACCCACACCCTGAATCCAACCCTAATCCTGACCATACCACTTGTCACAACACCGATAAACTAACCCACACCCTGAAGCCAACACTAATCCTGACCATACCACTAGTCACAACACCGATAAACTAACCTTGACCCTGAAGCCAACACTAACCATGACCATACCACGAGTCACAACACCAATAAACTAACCCTGACCCTGAATCCAACACTAACCCTGACCATACCGCGAGTCACAACACCGATAAACTAACCCACACCCTGAATCCAACCCTAATCCTGACCATACCACTAGTCACAACACCGATAAACTAACCCTGACCCTGAAGCCAACACTAATCCTGACCATACCACTTGTCACAACACCGATAAACTAACCCACACCCTGAATCCAACCCTAATCCTGACCATACCACGAGTCACAACACCGATAAACTAACCCTGACCCTGAATCCAACGCTAACCCTCTAACACTGTTTACACAGCGAGTCACAACACGATCACGAACTCCGACCGCGACTCTAACCCTGACCTGGAATTCAACTGCAACGCTCACCCAGACCCCAAACCCTCACGCGGACTCGAACCACGGCACTGGCCGCACCAGCCGACCCTGATCACGCCGAAACCTCACCCTGACCTCGACCGACACGAACCCACCCCCCCTGACCCTGAACCAATCACGTGCCACGTCACGCATCCCAAAGGGCACCCCCAAGGGCAGCTGTCGCTGTGCAGCACAAGGCGACTCGCGCTCCCTGGCTCTGCAGTGTTGCAGGAATTGGTGCGGTGTGTGTGAATCCCATTTGAGGAATGTAATGTGTGTGTAATGTGTGTGTGTGTAATGTGTGTGTGTGTAATGTGTGTGTGTGTAATGTGTGTGTGTGTAATGTGTGTGTGTGTAATGTGTGTGTGTGTAATGTGTGTGTGTGTAATGTGTGTGTGTGTAATGTGTGTGTGTGTAATGTGTGTGTGTGTAATGTGTGTGTGTGTAATGTGTGTGTGTGTAATGTGTGTGTGTGTAATGTGTGTGTGTGTAATGTGTGTGTGTGTAATGTGTGTGTGTGTAATGTGTGTGTGTGTAATGTGTGTGTGTGTAATGTGTGTGTGTGTAATGTGTGTGTGTGTAATGTGTGTGTGTGTAATGTGTGTGTGTGTAGTGTGCGTGTGTGTAATGTGTGTGTGTGTAATGTGTGTGTAGTGTGTGTTGTGTGTAATGTGTGTGTGTGTAATGTGTGTGTGTGTAATGTGTGTGTGTGTAATGTGTGTGTGTGTAATGTGTGTGTGTGTAATGTGTGTGTGTGTAATGTGTGTGTGTGTAATGTGTGTGTGTGTAATGTGTGTGTGTGTAATGTGTGTGTGTGTAATGTGTGTGTGTGTAATGTGTGGTGTGTGTAATGTGTGTGTGTGTAATGTGTGTGTGTGTAAGGTGTGTGTGTGTAATGTGTGTGTGTGTAATGTGTGTGTGTGTAATGGTGTGTGTGTAATGTGTGTGTGTGTAATGTGTGTGTGTGTAATGTGTGTGTGTGTAATGTGTGTGTGTGTAATGTGTGTGTGTGTAATGTGTGTGTGTGTAATGTGTGTGGTGTAGTGTGTGTGTGTGTAATGTGTGTGTGTGTAATGTGTGTGTGTGTAATGTGTGTGTGTGTAATGTGTGTGTGTGTAATGTGTGTGTGTGTAATGTGTGTGTGTATGTGTGTGTGTGTAATGTGTGTGTGTGTAATGTGTGTGTGTGTAATGTGTGTGTGTGTAATGTGTGTGTGTGTAGTGTGTGTGTGTGTAATGTGTGTGTGTGTAATGTGTGTGTGTGTAATGTGTGTGTGTGTAATGTGTGTGTGTGTAGTGTGTGTGTGTGTAATGTGTGTGTGTGTAATGTGTGTGTGTGTAGTGTGGTGTGTGTAATGTGTGTAGTGTGTGTGGTGTAATGTGTGTGTGTGTAATGTGTGTGTGTAATGTGTGTGTGTGTAATGTGTGTGTGTGTAATGTGTGTGTGTGTAATGTGTGTGTGTGTAGTGTGTGTGTGTAATGTGTGTGTGTGTAATGTGTGTGTGTGTAGTGTGCGTGTGTGTAATGTGTGTGTGTGTAATGTGTGTGTGTGTAATGTGTGTGTGTGTAATGTGTGTGTGTGTAGTGTGTGTGTGTGTAATGTGTGTGTGTGTAATGTATGTTGTTGTAATGTGTGTGTGTGTAATGTGTGTGTGTGTAATGTGTGTGTGTGTAATGTGTGTGTGTGTAGTGTGCGTGTGTCGTGTGCGTGTGTAATGTGTGTTTATGTACAATGTGTGTATGTATATAAAGTGTCGAGGTAATGTGTGCATGTAATGTGTGTAATGTGTGTAGTGTGTGTGTGTAGTGTGTGTGTGTAACGTGTGTGTGTAATGTGTGTGTGTGTAATGTTTGTAATGTGTGTGTGTGTAATGTGAGTGTGTGTAATGTGTGTGCGTGTAATGTGTGTGCGTGTAATGTGTGTGTAATGTGTGTGTGTGTGCAATGTGTGTAATGTGTGTGTGTAGTGTGCGTGTGTACTGTGTGTGTACGTATGTGTGTTTATGTACAATGTGTGTATGCATGTAAAGTGTCGAGGTAAATGTGTGCATGTAATGTGTGTGAGGGGTTTTTTTTGGGTTAGATCGCGTAAATATATAAATGTGTGTCGTTAAAACCCATCACCACCCGACACAGCCAACTAGTAAGGTGTGTCACGTAAAAAGAACGTACCAATTCGTCACTAGTACAGCACACACATCAGCCTGATGTGTGTGCTGTACAAATCTTGTTATCGCCTGATTAAGCTAGTTGTAATTACTGGCGAAACGTCGTACTCAGATTGTAAATGTTGTGGCTTGGCTCTCCAACACACAACCGGTTAGTGCTGTACTAGTATACTACACTATACACTACACTATACACTACACTATACACTACACTACACACTACACTATACACTACACACGAGTGCTGTACTAGTATACTACACTATACACTACACACTAGTGCTGTACTAGTATACTACACTATACACTACACTATACACTACACACTAGTGCTGTACTAGTGACGAATTGGCACGTTCTGTTTACGTGACAACCCTTACTAGTCGGCTGTGTCGGGTGGTGGCGGGTTTTAATGACACATTAATATATTTACGCAATCTAACCCAAAAAAACCCCTCTATTATGGATGATGTTTGTATGTAATGCGAGTGTTTGTAATGTGAGTGTATGCAATGTGTGTGTGTGTAATGTGTGTGTGTAATGTGTGTGTGTAATGTGAGTGTGTATGCAATGTGTGTGTAATGTGTGTGTAATGTGTGTGTGTGTGTATGCAATGTGTGTGGTGTGTACGTGCAGTTCAAAGTTCACGTTGGCAAGTCAGTGAAGCAACCACCTCCCCCAAACGCCTCCCCACCAGGTACGCCTTCATGGGGAGGGGTGGCGGGGAAAGGCCTTCATCCAGCAGTGGATAGGGCATGGCTGCTACTGCTGAAAGGAGTAATAATAACCATAGTACAGGCTGTTTCTAAAACATTGACCCAATTTCAAAGCAGTATATTTCACGATGGCAACATGTTACAATTACACAAAAAGTTACAAACGGTTTAACGAGTTATGAAGTTTTACTAACCATTTTATAAATGCTCTTATGTGCCCTCCACCTGCTGTACGGACAACATCGAGACGATAGTTGAATTTGTCCCAAACGCCTCTCTTCTCACGTGTTCCTCTGAGCTGCGTGGTCGCCCTGTGCTCTTCCCCTTACATAAACAGCAGCCTGCTTCCTAAAATTGTCGGTACCAACGACGAATGCTCTTTGACATTGGCGGATCAATGCCAAAACGCCGTTGAAACGCACGCTGCACCACAATTACGGATTCAGTCTTGCTGAACTGCAGAACGCAAAACGCCTTGTGTGTTGGCGGGGTCCCTGTCTTGCGAATGACCGAGGCTAGGGGCTGTTTGTGCGCTGGGAGAGGCATCGAGCGGTACTCATTTTAAACTCTATGCCCCGCCCTCTCTATGCCCCGCCCTCCTCTCTATGCCCCGCCCTCCTCTCTATGCCCCGCCCTTTCAAGTGGTAAGAGTTTCATTCATGGGCGGTTCGTGGTTGCAGAGATATATCGATTTCAAATCGAGTCCATCCGTTTGAAACTCCCCGTATTTATAACTTAAAATGTGTAATGTACGCACTTTTAGCTCGCGCTCAGACAGAGGGAGAGAATGATTCAGAGAGAGAGAGAATGATTCAGAGGCGCAGGTAAAACCACAGACGGGTGGCAAGAAGGCAGTTGGGACCGACGCGAGCAATTTCCAAAGCTCTGCGGTCCTACATTGGGATGTTTGGCCAACTCGATGAATCACGAGTGTAGTGGCAGCACACACTCAAAGTCTCCAGAAATTTCCCGCGGTCTGCGGTCCTTCATTGGAATGTCTGCCGCTGTTGCAGGGAAGGTGTCAGCTGACCTGCAGCAAGTGTCCACGAAGTCTCTGAAGCAGCGCTTCGAGGACCACGCGCAGAAGCCTCCGGCTCACGATAAAGTACCGGCCCCGGCGGCCAAGGTCACGGTCCAGGTGAGGTCAGGGTCATGGTCCGAGTGAGGTCAGGGTCATGGTCCGAGTGAGGTCAATGTCACGGTTCAGGTGAGGCCAAGGTCATGATCTAGGTGAGGTCACGGAAAAGGCGAGGTGAGGTTCATAGTCCAGGAAAGGTCAAGGCCACGATCCCGGTGAGGTCAAGGTCATGGTTCAGGTGAGGTCAATGTCACGGTTCAGGTGAGGCCAAAGTCACGATCTAGGTGAGGTCACGGAAAAGGTGAGGTGAGGTTCACAGTCCAGGTAAGGTCAAGGCCATGGTCCCGGTGAGGTCAAGGCCACGGTCCAGGCAACGCCAGGGTCGAAGTCCACGTGAAGTCAGGGCCACGGTCCAGGTGAGGTCAAGGTCATGGTACAGGCGAGGTCAGGGTCGCAAAGCTCGGCTGGTGCAGTGAGATCACGAGGAGGGACACGGGAGCCCACACGGCGACTCTCACGGGTGTCACAGGTGACAATACATTCTCACTCAGCCACTCACCTACACACTCACCCACACACCCACACACCCACTCATCCACACTCACCCACTCAGCCACACAACAACAACCGCCATTCCCCACTAAGTGCGGTGATGTCACCACGACGCTTGGGCCAGGCTATGTGCACGTTGAGGCCACTTGAAGTGTCGAACACCCGCTGGCAGGTGGTCACGGGGTAGACCCAGGTGCCACGGGTCGACTGACTGAGATGACTGGCTGATGCACCACCTGTGCCCTCGACTGTGCCAATTTGCTGTGCTTTAGCCACCCGGTGCTCCACTCGTTGTTGTGAGCGTCGTTCCTCCCTCCTCCATTGTTGTTGGAGGGCGACTGCCTCCAACTGCCCAGTAGCGTCCTTCACGAGCCTCCTCCACAGAGGCCGATCTTGACCCTGCTGGTACCAATAATCGGCAAGTCCACTCAGCTCCACATCACATCACTCCATCTCTTCTCTAGCCCATGCCGTGCCCGTTTAGCCCCCTTGATCCGGCCGAACAAAAGCTGTTTAGGCATGCGGTGGCTGGGCATGCGGGCTACATAACCCAGCCAACGCAGGCTTGCCTGCCAGAGGAGCTTACCGATGGGACTTAGTCCAGATCTTTCAAGTGTTTGTGAGCTCCTCACACAATCCAGCTTGGTTAAACCCAGGATGGATCGTAGGCAGGCCAGCCTAAATGTTTCTAACCGGCGAAGATGTTCCATTAGGGGAGTCCACGTTCCACAAGCGTAGAGAAGGGAGGGCATGACCATGGCTGAGAAGACCTGAAGGTTCGTGTGGAGCGACAGACCAGGTAGCTTCCACACAGCATTACGCAACCGATGAAACGATAATGCCGCTTGACTGATTCAGAGTGAGACCTCTGCTGTCAAACCAGAGCCGGTCATGATCACACTACCCAGGTATGGGAAACTCTCCACTCTTTCCACAACTGCCCTATCACCAATTGGGAGTTTTGGGGGTGGAGTGTCCGATGGTACAAAATACCCAGGAAGGCGCTTAGTTTTGGTGGGGCTGATGGTAAGGCCCGACCTCTTAGTGGAAAGCACCAGGTTCAGCAGCAGCGCCTCCAACTCCTCCTATGAGTGAGCAGCAATTACCAGATCATCGGCATACATAACATGGTTGAGCAATAGGGAGCCATCCCTTGACCACACCCGGGCATCGATCAGCCTTCCATTGTATCTGTATCAGATGGGAATTCCTCCGGTACAGCTATTGAAGGCTTCATGAACTACGTGGTCGAAATAGATGTTAAATAATGTGGGAGCCAGAGGACATCCCTGTCACACAGACTCCCGGACATGTAGTTTTACCTGGGCCCGCTCACCATCACCCATATACCCACTCACTCACTCACACACCCACTCACTCAGCCACCCACTCACCCACTCACCCTCACACCCACTCACCCCCCACCTATTCACCCACTCACCCACATACCCACTCACTCATTCAACCACTCACACTCACCACACTCACCCACACACTCACCACACTCACCCACACACCCACACACTCACTCACTCACCCACACATCCACTAACTCACCCTCACACCCACTCACCCACTCACCCACTCACCCCCCACCTATTCACCCACTCACCCACACACCCACTCACTCACCCACACACGCATTCAACCACTCACACACCCACTCATTCACTGACTCACCCACTCACCCACTCACCCCCCCACCCACTCATCCACTCACTGCGGCAGGGAGAACTTCATCCAGCAGTGGATTAACCACGGCCAACGCCGTCGCCGCGTGCCCCATCCGCTCACAGAAGCCGGTGCCGTCGGAGGACGCTTCGTGTCCCGGCTGCCTCAAGACGGTGTACCTGGTGGACCGGCTGGTGATCGACGGGCGCATCTACCACCGTCGCTGCTTCCGCTGCTCCCACTGCTCCAGCCAGCTCAGGTGCCGTGACGTGGGCGGCTCGTGGTGGTGGAGCGGGAGGTGGTCGGGAGGGGGGAGGCGGTGGGGAGGGGGGGAGGTGGTGGGTGGGGAGGGGGAGGTGGTGGGTGGGGAGGGGGGAGGCGATGGGGAGGTGGGGAGGAGGGGAGGGGGGGAGTTGGTGGGGAGGGGGAGGTGGTGGGTGGGGAGGTGGTGGGGGGAGGTGATGGGGGGAGGTGGTGGTGGGGGGGTTGACGACTGCAGAGTGTAGGCCCTCGAAGGCCCAACGTGCCGAGCGGGCCGTCTACCGAGTGAGGGTCGGGGCGAGGTGACTGTCGCGCTGTGTGGCGTTGAGCGAGGTCGCTGTTGTGATGAGAGCTCCGTGTCTCTGTCCCCGTGTCTCTCCATCTCCGTGTGTCTCTGTCCACGTGCGTCTCCATCTCGGTGTCTTTGTCCCCTCCCCCCCCCCCCGCGTCTCTGCCCCCGCAGCCTGGGTAACTACGCGTCGCTGCAGGGCCGCGTCTACTGTGAGCCGCACTTCGAGCAGCTCTTCAAGACCAAGGGCAACTACGAGGACGGCTTCGGCATCAAGGGGCACCGCGGCGCTCGCGGCTGGCAGGCCCCGGGCGGAGGAGCAGGAGGAGGTACGTCGCCCTCCGATCCCATGGGGCCACAGGCCGACAGCATCGCAGCGTTCACCGCCGACACCCCCGCCGCCGCGCTGGCGCGGGCCCCGACGGCGCACGGCGGCCGCGACGACGACGGTGGCGACGGCGACGACGAGGAGGAGGAGGAGGAGGTGTTTGTGTGCCCGTCGTCGCCGCCTCCCGCGGGGAGCTCTCCTGGCGAGAGGGGCGCCGCCGCGGGAGACCCCGGTGCGGTCGCCGTCGCGGGGGGGGCGGCCGCCGCCGAGAGCGTGGGGAAGCTCAAGGTGCTGTGGCCACCCCCGGACGGCGGCGGCGGCGGCGCGGCCAAGAGCGGCAGGTCAGCCGCCGTGGGCCCCGTCGCCGGCTCCGTCTCCTCGTCGCCCTTCGTCAAGGCGGTGAGCGAGGGCTCCTCTTCGGAGGGGGGGCGCCCTTCGTCCTTTCCAGCCGGGGCCCACGCGTCCGCCTCGCAGCACGTGCAGGCGGCCAGGGCGCTCTACGAGAGGGCGGCCGCCCCGGAGGCGAGGCCCCCCGTGCCGGGGCCGCCAGGCGCCGCCATCCGGCCGGCCATCGCCACCGGCGCCGAGCGGCGGTCGCCCGGCTCCGAGGTGAAGAGGGTTCGCTTCTCCGACGCGGACGTCGCGCTGGTGTTTCCCGACCGCGACTCCGATGGCGACTCCGACGACGACGGCGATGATTCCTTGCGCTCGGAGACGAAAAACGACGAAGAGGTCTTCCTCGCCGCGTCGGCAGAACTGGAGGAGAAGCCGGAGGAGGCTTGGGAAGACGGCGGGGCAGGGGATGTTTGGCGGAGCGAGGAGCGCGGCCACCCGACCGCGTGGCCGCCGTCGACCGAGCCGGCGTGGGAGGCTTCGGACGCCGCGGAGCCGACGGGTCCGACAGCGGCACCGAGGGGCGCGGGCAGGGACGGAGAGGAGCGCGACAGAGCGGCAGCTGCAGCGGCTGACGACGGCGGCGGCGATGCGGTCGCTCCAAAGCCTGCGGCGAGGGGCAAGCGCAGCCCCCTGGCCAAGTTGCGGTCGCCGCTCGCCAAGCTGTTTGGCCGAGGCGGCAAAGAGAAGTCGGGCGGCAAAGAGCAGGAGGAACAGAAGCCGGTTCCTCCGTCTGCTGGGGAACGGCGGCGGGAGCAGCATTCGGCTCGGAGCGGCACGGCGGGAGAGGGAGACGGGAAGGAAGTAGGGAGCGACGCGGGGGGTGGCCGTGCGGATGCGGACATCGAGCCGACTGCTGCGGGGAGCGGCGATGGCGGTGGCGACGGTGGCCGTGGCGCTGTGCGCACAGAGGCGAGCGCGCACGAGCCAGAGGACGCGGGCAGGAACGATGAGATCGGCGCGGGAGATCAAAGAGGGGTCCCGCGAGAGGCCGAGGTGCCTGGGCCCGGGCCTACAGGGGCAGCCGTGACGGAACACGTGCAAGGCGCTGGATCAAGTCTGTGGGGAGGCCCTGGAGACCCACGAGATTTAGGATACCCAGGAGAAAAAGGAGACCAAGAAGAACCAGGATTCCCAGAAGAACCACGACACCAAGAAGAACCAGGATTACAAGAAGAACCAAGATACCAAGAAGAACCAGGTGACCCAGAAGAACCAAAATACCAAGAAAAACCAGGCTTACAAGAAGAACCAGGATTCCAAGAAGAACCAAGATACCCAGAAGAACCAGGATTCCAAGAAGAACCAGGATTCCAAGAAGAATCAGGTGACCCAGAAGCAACAGGATACCCAGAAGAACCAGGTGACGCAGAAGAAACAGGATACCAATTAGAACCAAGATACCAAAAAGAACCAAGATACCAAGAAGAACCAGGTGACCCAGAAGAAACAGGATACCAATTAGAACCAAGAAACCAAGAAGAACCAGGATTCCAAGAAGAACCACGACACCAAGAAGAACCAGGATTCCAAGAAGAATCAGGTGACCCAGAAGCAACAGGATACCCAGAAGAACCAGGTGACGGAGAAGAAACAGGATACCAATTAGAACCAAGATACCAAAAAGAACCAAGATACCAAGAAGAATCAGGTGACCCAGAAGAAACAGGATACCCAGAAGAACCAGGTGACGGAGAAGAAACAGGATACCAATTAGAACCAAGATACCAAAAAGAACCAAGATACCAAGAAGAATCAGGTAACCCAGAAGAAACAGGATACCAATTAGAACCAAGAAACCAAGAAGAACCAGGATTCCAAGAAGAACCACGACACCAAGAAGAACCAGGATTCCAAGAAGAACCAGGTGACCCAGAAGAAACAGGATACCAAGAAGAACCAGGTGACCCAGAAGAAACAGGATTCCAAGAAGAACCAGGTGACCCAGAAGAAACAAGATACCAAGAAGAACCAGGATTCCAAGCAGAACGAGGATTCCAAGACGAAGCAGGAGAACCATGGAAGACGACCGCCTGCAGCGAGGAGTTTGCAGACGCCGCGGGTCTCTCCTTCGCGTCAGACCCCTTCGACGGCGTCTCCCCGTTCGCCGAGGCCGGCTCGCTGTTCGCCGAGCCCGAGTCCGGCGCGCCCTTGGAGCCTTTTGCGGCCGACGCGTTCCGCGGTTTGCAGCCGGCAGCGGCGGTGACGAACGGAGGGCCGGCGTGGCTCGGGGACGGCGACCCCTTCGACCCCGAGGCGAGCGGCTTCGGCTTCGACGGCGCCGAAACGTACGACGCGAGCTTCCTCTCGGACGACGTCCTCGAGTTTAGCCGAGCGTCCTCATCGGCGGTCGAGCTGGGCCCCGCGGACGCGACGTTTGCTGGCCTCGCGGGCGCACGGATGAGCAGCCCCGACGACGACGCCGACGACACCGCCGATGCCGACGGCCGGTGCGTCCTCGAGACGTCCTCCACGTTCGGTCTCCCGGTGTCCGGCCCGCAGAACCCCTTCTCCGAGGACCTTTTCGGAATGACCGATTGGTCGGTCAGCAGCGACGCCATCTTCGTGCAGACCACGTCGCCTCACTTGGCAGGCGGAGGAGGTGGTGGCGGTGGTGATGGTGGTGTTCATATGTCACTCATCGATGATTTTTTCACGGGAGCGGCCGACGCGTCCATCGCCGGCGCTGGTGGCAACAGCTCTGCCGGCGACGCCTTCGCCGGCGACATATTCGGCATGGGACTCCCCGCCCCGGCCGCCGCCGTGGCCTCGCCGACCTCACCGACCCAGGCCAACAGGCAGCAGTGGAGTGACGACCTCCTGGGATGAATGCGGAGGAGGTTGAGCTGGGGGGGACGGGGGGTTAGGGGGTGGGGGCTCGGCAGCGCACGGGGTCGGAGCGCAGGACTCGGAGGGGGGGGGGGGGATGGGGAACGAGCGGTGCCGCAAGGGGGCGAGAGGCGCCGCGCCGTGCCGCTCACTGCCATTTAATGACGCGGGCTCGGGCGGCACAAACCTCGCCAGCACCGCCACCGCCACCGTCCGCACTGCTGTGTGGCACCGACGGGACGCCGGGGTGGCGGGGGGAGGGTAGGATAAAGGTGTGGGGGGTTGTTTTGAGGGCAGGGTTAGTCCACACGGGGCGCCAAGTTGAGACATTTAATAGATTCTGTGACACGGCGACCCAGCTCACTGCTCCCCCCCCTGCCACCTCCGCTCGGAAGACCAACCACTGCCATTAACGACTGACTTGCCGCTGTAGAGGAGTGAGTGGGGTCATGACCGCCACAATGGATTTGGTGCCCCACAGGGCGAAATTCCCAATGAGGCCTCCCACCGCTGGCCTTTTAAAGCACCCCCCTCCACCCCCACGGATCTGAGACGTGGGGGCAAACTGCCCCCCCCTCCCTGCTGTCCCCCTCTCGCTTTGTGGCCCTGTGCGCACGCGCGTGTTTCCGTGTGTAAGATTGTAAATAGGTGCTCGCTAACAGCACTTGCCCCACCAGTTAAGGCTGCACGGGGGATCTTCGTGCGGTTGTTAGATGTTTCGCAGAGACGGAGGGTTGCCAACTCTGTGGCTTAAAAAAATTCCGGGACGTATCACGGGCAAAATTTTGGGCAAATCATTCACTTTGTGACCCAAGCCAGAATAGTTTTGTTCCCTCTCAATTATGAATCATGCTTTCATGTTTTATTGCCACGCAAATGACAAATGCCGGGGAGAGAAAACTTTCAACGTCTCCCGGCAAGACTTCAGGGATATGTCCTGGGACCGGAGTTGCCACCTCCCCCAGCGAGAGGACGGTCCTGGGGGCAATACCAGGACGGGTGGCAACCCGACTCAGATATTCGGGTACTGGCAGGGCGACCTCGCAGCAAAGCCCCCTTCCCCCTCTGGCCTAGGCGTGAGATTTTTTTGAGCGACTGCTTCTCTTGTTCAGCTGTCATCGTCGCGATGCTTCAGCCCCGGTAGTGGCTCGCGCTGCCTGCAACTGGCTGCTCAAACCTTCAACGCCGGTCTGTCGACCCAGCGCCGAGCCACCCCGACCGTGCCGCCTTCATTGACCAAACCAAAACAAGTTCAACGTGAACTCTGCTCTTTTGAATATGATTTTTTGTTACGTATATATATTTTGTAAAATGTTGTTTTCATCTTTTACCGGGCCGCTGGTAGACTGCAGTAGGTGACACGGCGAGCGCAGTTTGCCAACAGCCCGGAGCGAGAGAAAGTTTATACAGGATATGGTGTGCCGGGGTGCGGGAATATTACACACGGGGGAGGGGGTGGTGAGAGCGGGGGAGGTCGCTGACCCCGAGATGAATGTAAAACCTTTGGTTGATGATGTGACACATACACGTGTGTGAAGGATGATGCGGTAGGGCGTTGCGGGAGGAGGGAGGGGGGATAGGGTCAAGCTGCTTGGCCGTCGGGAATGAAAACATCGCAGGAAAGTACGGAGATGGGAGACGGGGGAGAGCGGACGTTGTGACATTATTATTACAATTTTAGGTGACATTATTCAGCTCCTGTGACACTATTACTACATTATTAGGTGACATTATTCAGCCCCCTTGTGCCCAACTGCTGCACGAGACCAACCCAGCTATAGGCCCATCCCTGTGGTGGTGGTGGTGGTGGGGGAGCTGCATCTGAATGGCGAGCTGCATGAAGGGCGACAGGGCCGCGTGGTGGTGCTCGCAGTGGCCGCGTGTCGGCCACACGCGGGAAGGGAGGACGAGAAGGATAATCAGAGAGGACGAGAATGATAATCAGAATCCGACGAGCTTCAAGCTCAATGAGAATGAGGAGGAGTAGGAGGAGAGGTCTCGCCCGCTCACCCCTAATGCTCTCGCCGTTGCGTCTCTCTCGCACGACAGTCAAGGCCCGGGCGGCCGGAGGATCCAAAATCTAAGCCAGGCTCGGCGCTGCGGCGGTGGCGGTGGTCTGGAAGATCCGAGGAGTGATTGTTGTGCCTCGAAGGCCGCGTCTTGCTGGCGGCCTTCAAGGGCCTCCTCTCTGCGGCTGCCGCTGCTGCTGCTGTGGCTTCTGCAGCTGCAGCTGTTGCGGCTGCTGCTGCTGCGGCTGCTACAGGAGCGACGACCCACATCAGTGTTTGCCAGATTTCGGAGAAATAAAATAAAAAATCCCTTCGGCCTCGACTGCAGTTTGTCAAACTCCAGTCCTCGTGATCCTTACCACAGTGCGGATTCCTTTAAACTTTTTTTTTATATTAACACATTTGAGACAAAGGAGTTGATTTAAGTGAGACGCTAAACCGGCACTGACTGCTGAGATCCTGGGTTCGAATCTGTGCCTAAGCCGCACCAACCACAGTAGAGCGATTTGATGGTCTCAGCTCGCATATAGACCCACAGACTCACATTGAGCCTCATAAACTCATGGAGATCCATAGACTCACACAGAAACCCATAGTCGATGGTCTGCGCCCAGTCACCAACGACTGCGCAAAACAATCCCCCGTCACGTTGCAAAGTTTGCGATTAATTTTTGGATTAAATAAAACAAATTCTGAGAATTCAAAAACATCCGGCTCGACTGTCGAGGATTACTCTCGGTCGCAGATGGGGTGGAGAAGTGCGGCCCCCTACTGTGGGGGGGGGGGCGTCACCCGAAGAAGAAATCTCGGAGGTAGCTCTGTGAAGTCCACTTCCGTGGGGTTCCTTTCTGTAATAACACGAGGGGGGGGGGGGGGGGGACGGGTCGCACTGCTCACCGCAAGAGTTCCAAACGGACTCTTGATACCGGTAGACCAATAACCACGGCACATGGAGCCCCTTCCGCCCGCAGTGGCAAGAGCAGAGAAATTGCAGGGCCTGCGCCCTGCGTCCGTAATTGACTCCGGAGTTTGAATCTGCGAGGTGGGGGGTGTTAGCCGCTCACACCTCCTGCCTGACGATCGTTGCGATTCCTGGCGATCGCATCGCTTCCTGTTTCACCTCCTAACGTTGTTGTTATTTTTTTTTAAAATCACCGAGCGTGAAACCCCAGGAGCTCCCGATTGGCCACGGTGGGATATAAATTGAGGCTGGTGAAAGAGGAGGTGGTCGCGAACGGGATGGAGCGCGACGCATTCGGGGCGCCCCCCAACCCGGGATTACTCCTTTTGGCGAATGTTGACGTCGCCTCCTTCCCCCGTCGTCTTTTTCCGTGGCTGGCGAACCGCTACGCACCACACGCGCCCCCCCCCCCCCCCCCCCCCCCGATGATTGCCAAACACGGAAATATGTGGACGCACTGTTGGTATAGCACGAGGACTGTGGTTTGAGAAGCAATCGGACCTCGGCGATTTGACGAAGCCTTGATTCTGATTAAGGACACACAAATGATCTAAAGATACTTTGACGACTGAACAAGTTTTCTACCAATTATCCCAATCGATCAGCTCAGGAAAAAAAAAACTTTGCATTGTGGGGAAATATTTTGCCGTAATCGTTCTATTAAGACATTTGCGATGCTGCTATTGCTGCTGTTGCTTTGACAGTGGTGCACAAACAAACAACAACAACCACTCAACACGCTCCGTGTCAACAACAACAACAACCACTTTCCGTGTTTTTGTGTAGCCCTAATTCAGGGCGCACGGGTGTGTGCGTGACAGCCCCTGTTCGATCTCTACACCGCATTCCTAATAAACCCCCTTCGTACCAGCAGAAGAATATAGGGTAACATTCATATTGGATTATTGGTTTCATAATTGATTTAAAAAAAAAAAAATTGGCGGGGGGGGGGGTGAGTAAAACGTTATGTCGTATACCCTCCTCCACCCGACGCGGACCATTCGTCATGGGGGGAAGAAAAAAAAGCGATCACGTGAACAAACGCCGCCCGAGTGGCCAAATTTGAGCCCTAACTTCGACGGGCGCCCCCGACTTTACGCTGCCGGTTAGATGGCGACTACCAACGCGTCCTCACCCCGATGGTTCCAGCGGTTGTGTGGATCGCCCTCCAGCAACGCCGTCGAGGGGGTCCCGCCGAAGCGCTCGGACCCGAGGCCACGTGACGACTTCATCAATGGGCTGCGTCGGGAGGAGAAGGGCAGATACGACGCGACGTTTGAGTCGACCCAGCGATCCGATCCCAACAATCAATTGTGACCCGTAATATTCCGTTTAACACGTGGAGGCTTTCGCGACCAATATAATTCATGATAAAGGTTTTTGGGTTAGATCGCGTTATTTATAAATGTGTCGTAACCCTCCACCACCCGACACGGCCAAACAGCAAAACATGTGTCACGTTTACAAAGGACAAATTAATTCACTTCTGTAGCCCACTGGTGTGTTATAAATAACGCGATCTAACCCAAAAACCTATAATATGAGCCGTAATATTGTTTGAGAAATCTCACGCACCTGTTAAATATAGGACTATTGTTATTATTTTGGATAGAACTATACATTGTATTCGAGTGGTGGTGCCTTACACCGGTAACAAAAACAATATGTATTTACACACCGTGACAAATTTAGCCGTGTTGGGCACTGGCTCTTCATTCACCGCAGGGAGCAATGACGAAGGGCGATTGCCCGAAACATCGGCAAATTATACTCATTTATGTTTTCTACAACGGAGAGAGCCACGGTGTTGTTGTTGTTGTTGAGGAGGGGTTGTTGTTGTTGTTGAGCAGGGGTTGCGTTGTTGTCAGCTTGTGCATCGACCCTCATTGCGGGCAAAACGCAGCGGAGGTAAATGACACCTCTACTCAAAAAAACTAAACAAAATTGACAAGAAAAAATGTGTCAAACCCTCTTGGGAACAATCAGACCAGATGTGTCTGTGAACCTCACAATGCTAAACTTTCCTGCACGCCACCCGCAATATCTCCTGGTAAAATA